GTTATTCAGGTGGAGCCTCTGGGGTCCAGCAGCGTCCTGCGGCTCCTGAACGCCTCATGGAGGGATTCAGGTAGATACACCTGTGAGGAGGCTGGGTCTCCTGAGAGGAGACAGGTGGACGTCTTCATACCTGGCACAGGTGAGCATCTGAATGTCCAAACGGCGGTACTACAGTTTCCGTATCAGTCCATGACGTCACTGGCCCAGAAAGACTTTCCCCATAGACTAACATGGGGACAGAGACGTCTGTGAATCAGAGGAACTAAATACACGTCCCAGAATGCACTCTGTTATAGCCCTTCTTAGAATCATTCGGTCCTTAAAGTTGTAAAATGCACTAAAAGCTGAATCCAGATTTATTTTCTCTCTCCATTCATTCTAGTAAACCGAGAGCGGGAGCTCGGGGGCGGGGCTGAATGAGTGGGGCTTAATGCCAGGAGGCGGGGCTTAAGAGGAAACTCAACTTTGCTCTATGAGCTATACTAACCCCCCTCAGGTCTGGAGGAGTGGTTTGTCCCGAGGCTCTCAGGTGTGGTGATGCTATGCTAACCCCTGCTCTCTACCCCCCCTCAGGTCCGGAGGAGTGGTTTGTCCCGAGGCTCTCAGGTGTGGTGATGCTATGCTAACCCCTGCTCTCTAACCCCCCTCAGGTCCGGAGGAGTGGTTTGTCCCGAGGCTCTCAGGTGTGGTGATGCTATGCTAACCCCTGCTCTCTACCCCCCCTCAGGTCCAGAGGAGTGGTTTGTCCCGAGGCTCTCAGGTGTGGTGATGCAGGTGGGGCTGGAGGACACCGTCCCCTGCGGTGTTTCTGACCCCCGGCTCAACGTCTCTCTGTTCGAGCGTCACAGCAGGACCCCCGTCACCACGGCAACATACGAGCCGGGGCGGGGCTTCACCGGGAAACTTAACGACACGTCATACACCTGCACTGCCACCGGGGGGGGGGGCGGAGTCACAGAGCCAGGTGTACTACGTGTTCAGCATCGTAGGTGAGACACCTCTACCTGTCTGCCTGTCTCACCTGTCTGTCTCCACCTGTCTGTCTCACCGGTCTGTCCCCACCTGTCTCTCTCACCTGTCTCACCTGTCTGTCTCACCGGTCTCACCTGTCTGTCTCACCTGTCTCACCTGTCTCACCTGTCTGTCTCACCTGTCTGTCTCACCGGTCTCACCTGTCTGTCTCACCTGTCTCACCTGTCTCACCTGTCTCACCTGTCTCACCTGTCTCCCTCTCACAGATCAGTGGCATCTGATCCTCCATGTTCTATAGTGGAGTGATGAGGCACAGGACATTGACTCTTTTTCTCAGAATTGACCTGTCTGTCTCCCAGTCCCTCAGCAGGTGGAGGTCTACCTGTCTCACCACCTGTCTCTCTCTCAGTCCCTCAGCAGGTGGAGGTGTACCTGTCTGTCTCTCGCTCGGTGCTGAAGGTGGGTGAGTCTCTGATGGTGAACTGCACGGTGAGAGACATCGACATGGTGTTTTTCACCTGGGACTTCCCCCGCAGACAGGTACCCGTTTGTCTGCCTGTCTCTCTCACTACCTATCTGTCTCTCTTGTATTATAAATCTGTCTCTGGTGTTTCAGGAGGTGGAGCCTCTGACAGACTTCCTGCCCAATCAGATTCGCTCCTTTGTGAACATCTCCTCGGCAACAGTGGAAGATTCAGGTAGGTTCCTGACAGACAGTGCTGAGGGGAGCAGAGACTCACTGTGTAACACTGTGTGTGTGTGTGTGTGTGTGTGTGTGTGTGTGTGTGTGTGTGTGTGTGTGTGTGTGTGTGTGTGTGTGTGTGTGTGTGTGTGTGTGTGTGTGTGTGTGTGTGTGTGTGTGTGTGTGTGTGTGTGTGTGTGTGTGTGTGTGTATGTGTGTGTATCCTGCAGGTGTGTATGTGTGTGAGGTTCAGGAGACGTTGCAGGGACAAACTGCGAAGAAGAACGTCACCATTACAGTGCTGGGTCAGTACACACACACACACACACACACACACACACACACACACACACACACACACACACACACACACACACACACACACACACACACACACACACACACACACACACACACACACACACACACACACACACACACACACACACACACACACACACACACACACACACACACACACACACAGAGTTAAACGAAACAATGTTGCCAAAGCATCAACATACAAAATAATGTAGAGGCTCAGTGTTAGCATTGTGGGTTTTCTTTTGAAAAATAAAAAAAATGATCAGTTGGATGAGTTTCTTCCCGTTACATGGATATAAAACATTCATAGTTTATTAAATGAACATGCCCTCAGACACTGTTTCCTGCAAGATGTTGCGGCAGTGCCCCGGTACCGGGGTCTCTCGGGCTTAACAGGTTAAGAGCATTCCATGGAATATAACAAAAAGTGTATCTCGAGCCGGTTTCTCAAACTTACCTACCCCACCTTTAAATGTAATTTACTTATTTAAGTCCATACTACTCTAAAATGTCCATGCAAGTTATTACCTTCATTAGTTTGAGTATTAGAAACTCATTTCTTTGAGTCAAAATAATATACACATTTAAGTTCCACTTGTTAACAGTTTATTTTAAAATGTTTGTTACACAATGACCTTTTTATAACAAAGGTTCTCAAATATGAAATAAAAGTAAGTAGACAAATTAAAACAAAGGCCTGAACCTGCTTCCACGTTTTTAACATCTCTTTGGGGTAGCTCAGGTTGAGTGCGTATATTAGCCCCACAGGCACAGGCTCTGGACGCATCCGAGATCTGAAGGGCTTCTGTCCTTCAATCACTATTCTTGCAGCCCTGGTCAAGACAGTCTTCAGCACCTCATTGCTAACTTCCACTTCACCTTCCTGGAATAAGTAGATTAGAAAATACATTTCAGTGTTTTTGGTGCACTCAGATTAGAAAACATTGCATTGTGTTTCAGGTTAACACGAGTTACAGTTTGATTTACGCATCTTCTTTACTTACTCAAGCTTTCCTTGAAGAGATCCTCTTTTTCACAAAGACACACCACCAAGCACCGGATAGCAACCTCTCTTATTCTTTCCACCGAATCATCCTTAAAAGGAGAACATTGTTGAAAAAGTTGTTTCTTTTAAAGGGGACCTATCATGCAAAATGCACTTTTGTACGTCTTTTATACATGAATATGTGTCCCCGGTGTTCCAGGGAACTCACCAAGTGCCAGAAAACACAACCCTCTCTATTTTCCTCCATCGCCAAATCTCTAAAAAAGGGGCTGCAACGGATCTGATAAAAACTGATCCAGATTTGAACACTTTCCTGACGTCAGGACGGTGGCGCTACGGCTATTGGGCCAACTCTCCACCTATCAGGGGAATGTGGGGTTGGGCCACGGCCGGCCATTGCCACTCGAAAGCGCTGGAGACGCTGTAGTACATATGCCAGGCCTGTAAGTGGCGCTGTAGTCTGCCACAAAAGCAGCAAAGAAGACTTCCCGCCCATAGTTACCATGGTTACCCTTCTGTTTATTCTCCGCTGTGGCTTTTTTTCTCCCTCCCCGAGGTAAGCGTTTGCTCCTGCTGCTTTAATTCAATGCAATCCCTCCCCGTCGAGGCAAGCACTGTAATTCTCTCTGGTTAGTCCACCAGCAGATGACAAACATTTAAATATAGCATGATAGGTCCACTTTAAAGGAAACCTATCATGCTATATTTAAATGATATATTGTAGGGCCATACCTATATAAGGTATATTTATACGTTTCTGTTTTCAAAATACCAAACAGATCATGCATTTTAGCCATGCCTCATTTCGCTCTATGTGCTGTTTGCTGTCTACGGGTCTGATTCTGCTGACCACGCCCCCCTGCAGGAGAGGTGAGCCGTGCTCTGATCAGCTGCTGGGCTGTCAGAAGAGGGGGAGAAAAAGAGTATGGAGGAAAATAGAGAGGGTTGTGTTTTCTGACACTTGGTGAGTTCCCTGGAACACCGGGGACACATATTCATGTATAAAAGACGTACAAAAGTGCATTTTGCATGATAGGTCCCCTTTAAGTGGAATCTACTAACCCCATGAATTGTTTTTTAGAGTGAACCAGACCAAGAAAAAAGCTATGGAAAAATTATTTGTTTGCATTTTTTTTATCCAATGGGCCACAAATAACCACAAACACATTTTTCCTTTTTTGACTGACCACACAGTTTTGTTTTTGGTCGAGCTGGCCTTTTATGGTAAAAGTGCATTTTCAACAATCATCCTATACAGCAGTGGTTCTCAACTGGTCAGGCCTCGGGACCCACTTTTTACTTGGTCAATACATCGCGACCCAACATTTTGAAGCACTCAAATCTATTCAACAAAAAATCGTGCTGTAATATATACGCTTTTCAGAATACAATATTAATAAAAGTGAAGTACAGTGCATATATCCCTTCACAGAACTAAAGTATGCTTTTAAAAAAGGTTCAATGAGATGATGGAATCAAAGCTGAACTATATAAAAAGGCACACATGCTGAAAACCCAACCCCAGCAGGGGGTCTGGGGGGATTCTCCCCCAGGAGATTTTTTGAAATACTAACAAACTACGCATTCTGGTACACTCTGAGAAGAAAATAAATAAATCATACATATTAATAATATTTTATGCCATTGTTTGTTTTTCACTTAGTTCTGACAGCTTGCTGAGAGAAGAGTAAAGAGGAGATAGTCTGTGTGACTTACTTTGAATTGTGGGTAAGGGTAGATAGCTCCCATTGTTCTGTGACCTGTCAATCATCAAATCGGGGGTCATATTTCATTATGTGTTCATTTCTATCTGAAGTTGTACCCATGGATGTATAAAGAATAGTTCTACCGCTAAGTTATTTTCCGTGGGAACTTCCGGCAACAATCTTGATTCCGATTGGCCAGAAGACTCGAAAAAACATCAGCAGAGATGTTTTATTGAGAAGATGATCACTACGTGACAGAAGTTTTCAAACCCGTTTATGGTCTCCGGTACTTCCAGTCCAACGCCTACTGCATGCACAGCATTAGAGAATCGGTTCTTCAAAATAAAAGTTTGCCTTTTTTCCCAAAAAAAAAAAAAAAAAAATTCAAAAAAAAATGTTCACCTTTTTTTTTCTTCACTCACACATCCGCGACCCACTTGAAACGGGTCCGCGACCCACTTTTGGGTCGCGACCCACCAGTTGAGAACCACTGCTATACAGTACAGTATTTGCATCAAACTCAAATAAAAAATATATTTTATGGAAAATGAGCAATATATACAACCAGACATATTCATAAAAGATAATTAATTATAATTGTAAAAAATAAAAAAATGTAAAAAAGTAATGTAAAGTGTTTTTCATAATAAAAAAATACTTGCTCATCTTACTGTATATGCTGAATTGGCCTAACAAGAAACCACTGGCCTAACAGCAAATGTCTATATCCTGTTTTGGCCTAACTTGCTCATCTGTGTGCAACTTTGGGCTGAATGCCATGCATGAAAGGTGCTATATAAATGATTATCGCTCTTTCACTCTGAGACTCATAAGGCATTACTAGATTTAGTAATATTACCATGAATCTAGCCATTCATTTACCATATTTTATTGGAAAACATCTCTGAAACTCTGAAAAAGTCATATTGCTAGTTTACCATAAAAGGCCAATTAGACCGGTTGGTTGAGCATATTTTCAAAAAAATAATTACACCCTTGTTAAAACTTTTTTTGTGCATCAATTTATCTAAATATGTTCAGTAAGTGCTCTGACACTAAAATATGTCAAAGATGATATGGTTACCTTACAAAAGTTGACCAAAAAGAGTGATTTCTTCAGCAGTGATTTTTAGCATGCCAACTTTCTCAGTTGAAGCTAGCTGAAGGGCTTTCTATTCGAACCACAGTGACATCTAGAGGTTGTTTTGTGCATAACATGTCAACCAAATGGCAGAGCTGGCTGAATCAGATGGAGTAAAACTTTTTTATTTATTTTTCAGCAAGATATCAAGACACAAAATGTGCTCTACCAGATGGTTGCGCTGGCTGTTAAAGGGTTAAACATATTCTTCATTTGCAGTATTTTATTTATAAGTGTTCAGAAAGACTGCATCAATGATATATATATATATATATAATATGACTATTTGTATTAACTTCAACCAAAGTCAATTTAAATAGCGGGCAGAAATGGGTTAATTGCCATGGATGTGGTGTTTGATATAGTTTACGTTCAATTTAAACTATTTTAGGCAGAAAAACGTATATTGACTAAAACCCTTTTTAAATAATTTACTATAATTTAGAAAGGTTTTTGTGAGAAATCATTTCAAAAGTAAACTTTTTTCCTTTTGTATTTAAATTTGAAATGTTTGCACACAACATTATTAATGTATACATTTTTATCAATTTTTTAAAATTATGAATCCATTTATTTTATTGTATTTCCTTGAGGCTGGGGAAGATATTCAGCATGTAGTTCAACATCCAAATGTTCTAATGCAAGTAAGTATAACATGGACAAGGAAATAAAATAGGTTTCATAGGAGGATGTGGATTTATTTTCTCTCACCTTGTAATTACACAATCAAACACTCTATGATTTAGCTCTGGCCTTCACTCACAAAAAAACCTTTTGTTGAATTGGACACATTTTTTGAAGCTCTATTGACTGACATGCGATGACTGGGACTGATGGAAGAATCTGAGAGGAATGAACTAGGAGCAGAGAAATAATCATATTTAAAAGACAGCAGCTTCATAAGAGGCCAACAAGAGTGACAGAGTGTGTCAGTTTGCTGAAGGCCAGTCTCTAAAGACTTTCCAAGGTGTAAAATGCTGCTGCTGGAGTACTGACTGGAAGTATTGCTGATATCATGTCTACCATCCTCTTAAAATATTCTGTCCAACAATATCAGTCTCATGAAGAAAGGTGTTTTAACGCTTATTCAAAGTAGCAGAGAAACATTCATTCTTGTACTCAGGAGGGGACATTGACAGAGGATTACTGGAAAAGTACACAGTAAGTACTTCATAGTACTTGTGGGAGTAGTTTCAGTAGTACTGAGTCCAACAGGATCAATCTCACGAAGAACTAATAGCAAAAAAATCATTTTTCCCCTCATCAAACTGAGCAGAAGTGGCTTGATTTAGTTCTCAGGAGGGGACTCTGACAGAGGATTACAACAACAACAAACAACACACTAGAAGTACTTCATTGTATTGTAGTAGCCGGTGTAAGACTACTGAGTCCAGCACTATCAGTATCATTAAGAACTAATGGTAAAATAGTCTTTTTATCACTCATCAAAGAAAGCAGAAAACATGCATGATGTACTATGGAGGGGACTCTGGCAGAGGATTACTCACAAAGTACACAGTCAAAGTACTTCAATGTATTGTTAGTAGCAGTCAAACTAGTACCGAGTCCAACAGTGTGAGTTTTATTAAGAACTTTTGGTAACAAATATTTGTATCGATTATCATCAAATATAGCAGGAATAAAAATGAAGAGCAGCTGATTTGAGTGAGCGCTGCATAGTTTACATCTAACGATGTCCTCCATCTTAGAAACAGGCCTATTCTATTTACAGTCCCTAACGATGTCCTCCATCTTAGAAACAGGCTTATTCTATTTACAGTCCCTAACAATGTCCTCCATCTTAGAAACAGGCCTATTCTATTTACAGTCCCTAATAACGTCAGTGTTCTGGGCTCAGTGTGTGATCGCTCAATTCACCTTGTTTCCCCTTGTTTATAATATTATCACCGTTCCAAGCAAACCAGTGCTTTTGTTTTGAAATCACTTCCGCGAGTCTCACATGCACTCTTCTCTTCATACATATAGTGTCTTCAGACATGCATATATTATGTATCATATTACATGTAAACATTGAATGAATGTGCACGAGAGCAAAATGCACATATAAATATGTGAGTGACAATGTATGAATGTGTGAGTATAAATATATATGTGTGTGAGAGGACCTGTACGGCCCCTCATCATTTTGTGTGTGTGTGTCTCTCTCTCTCTCTCACTGTCTCTCTCTCTCACTGCCTGTCTCACTCTCACTGTCTCTCTCTCTCACTGCCTGTCTCTCTCTCTCACTCTCACTGTCTCTCTCTCACTGTCTCTCTCTCACTCTCACTATCTCACTCTCACTGTCTCTCTCTCACTGCCTGTCTCTCTCTCTCACTCTCACTGTCTCTCTCTCAGAGCGGGGGTATCTGCTGCTCTGGCCCTCAGGTGAGACTCACCTGTCAGCCCTCCTTCATCACACGGTGACGCTCAGTGTGGAGGCCGACGCCCACCCCCCCCCCACAGTCCTCTGGACCAAAGACAACAACACCGTCGCCACGGAAACTAGTGCCGTCAACACCACACACCTGACAGGAAGCAGGTGGGTCAGAGACGAGATGATGTCATGTGATGATGTCATGTGATGATGTGATGATGTCATGTGATGATGTCATGCTGCAGGTACCTGAGCACGCTCACGCTGGTTGGAGTCCGGCTGCATCAGACAGGAAGTTACACGGCGAGCGTTTCCAATGAAGACGAAGCAGAGGAGGTCGTCTTCAATCTGGAGGTCAAAGGTCAGACAGAGAGAGAGACAGGTAGTTTACCTGGGTGTGTGCGTATGTATGTTTACGTGTGTGTGTGTGTGTGTGTGTGTGTGTGTGTGTGTGTGTGTGTGTGTGTGTGTGTGTGTGTGTGTGTGTGTGTGTGTGTGTGTGTGTGTGTGTGTGTGTGTGTGTGTGTGTGTGTGTGTGTAGCACCCCCCAGGATCACGTCTCTGTCGGAGGTCGGCAGTCAGGAGATGCTGTGTGTCGCTGAGGGAGCTCCGCCCCCCAACATCACCTGGTACACCTGTCACAGCTCACACAGGTACACACACAAACATTACATTACATGTCACTTGTTAGACGCTTTTATCCAAAGCGACTTACATACTCAACACTGTGGACAATCCCCACAGGAGCACTTTGGGGTGAAGTGTCTCAGGGACACAACGACATGCTGATTGCAGTGGGGTTTGAACCTGTGACCCCCTGATCCGAACACACACACATACACACACACACACACACACACACACACACACACACACACACACACACACACACACGCACACACACAGCCACTTGTCAGACCCAGGTTGCCATGGTAATGTGTTTGCCTCCTACAGGTGCAGTAATGTGACTGGCGGTTGGAGGAGCAAATCAGCAGCCTCTGAGGACAACGTCACCAAGGACATAGGCATCACCACGGTAACCAGAGACACCTTCAGAGTGATGTCATCATGGAGAAGGTGACTGACAGCTGTGTGTGTGTGTGTGTGTGTGTGTGTGTGTGTGTGTGTGTGTGTGTGTGTGTGTGTGTGTGTGTGTGTGTGTGTGTGTGTGTGTGTGTGTGTGTGTGTGTGTGTGTGTGTGTGTGTGTGTGTGTGTGTGTGTGTGTGTGTGTGTGTGTGTGCAGGTGCGCAGTGTGTTGAGTCTGCAGGCTCTCACCTCAGTGTCAGCTGTTCGCTGTGAAGCCAGAAACTCTGCAGGACGTCGAACAAGAGACCGCCACGTCCAGTCCTCCTGTACGTACTGCTGTGTACTGCTGTGTACTACTGAGTACTACTGTGTACTACTGTGTACTTCTGTGTACTGCTGTGTACTACTGAGTACTACTGTGTACTGCTGTGTACTGCTGAGTACTGATGTGTACTACTGAGTACTAGGGGTTTCACAACTACCAATATTTACTAGTCGACAAGTTTTTCAAAATAGTCGCCTAGTTGTTACGTCATAATAAAGACACACAAAGAGAGGTGTGAAACTGTATTTTATGCTACGCACGAAATTCTTTATTATTGCGCCGGGTTATTTTGCACCTCTTCTTCTCCCACATTCCACATCGCAGAAACTCCGTTCAAACATCAAAACTTTCAGCTCGGTCAGGAATCGATGGCTATTACTTTTCTTAATCATAACTTTCATAATTCCAGAGATACATCCCATAATGCATCCCATTTTTAACCATTGAAGTCAATGGAGAAACTCTTCAGACTTGAAAAATCTTCATGCGACTTCAACTGCTAACTGTTCATTCATACTTTCACTCAGAAACCTCATTCCAACTTTAAAATGTTACACATCTTTCTGACATTATTCATGTAACACAACTTTTAAATCTGAGATATTAAACTTTGTTCAGACCTTGGTAAAGAGGCCTTCTTCAGATTTTAGAGTGCGTGATGTCACAGCGTAGAGTGGAGGACAGCTTTAATTTTGCCTTCATATTTTCTTTTAAACCTGCCATAATTCCCAAACCCTACATTCCTGAGACATCATTTTTCATGACAAACGTAGGAAAACATCTCGTAGCTTGAAAAATTAAAAAAGATTAAGCAAAAATAATTAAACAAAATGCTTCTTGAGGGCATGAAGTGACAAAAACTTTCAACATGTCTCCATTAAAGCCCATTGTAAGTTCAGCCTCACCTTTCCCCACCACAGCAGTCGCACACCTTTAGTTAATCTGCCAAAAAGGCCACATTATTAACCCGAAAGTACACAAAAAGTACACTTCTGCTGCTCAAGTTCCTTGACATGCTGCACGCTTCGAAATTTCACCGATATCTGTTATGGTTCTTCAACAAAACGTTCACATGTAAGAGGTTTATCTCTCATTCAGAACAATGCAAATGCTCTCCTCTCACTGATTACTGCACATGGAAACCTTTGATCTCTGGACACCTCGTTAGCTCAAATATAAACACCTGTGTCATGGAACACGATGATGTCATAACTCCAACTGACATGCTCAGACCACCAGACTTCAGATGACAGTTAATGGTCCAGCCCTCAACATGTCTATGTGCCATTAGTGAGTTTTCCTCAAAAGCTGTTGCCATGGAAACGCATCCCTCGCCGTAAAACACGATATTGCTATAACTCCTATGAAAATGATCAAAAAGTGCTAAAATGTCACGTGTGCTAACAGTCCAGCCGTGAAGACATCTACGTGACAGTTTTGAAATTTCTTCAAATGCCATTTCCATGGCAACACAATGCTCGCTATGAAACACGGTTTTGTCATAACTTCAGTGAAAATGCTCCAAACGGCCCAAAACTTCACAGGTTTGGTAACGATGCAGCCATCAACACATCTAAGCGTATTATGGGGTGTCATCAAATACCGTTGCCATGGCGACAGATCATTCGTCATCAAGTTAGTTCAATAGTTTGCAGTTCAAATATTCTGCTGCTTTTCCAAGCTTTTTTACTTTCTTTTCTTCTCTCATCACACATTCAATCCCCCAGTGTTCATGTATCATTTCAATCTAAATTCTTCACTTTCTTCTTACACATCACATTTCAGCATAGCAGTTTAGCGTCAGCTTTTCAGCATAAAGCATTCCCACTAGCAATTTCTTCAGGAATTGCATTCTCTAGTTTGTATTGCAATTCATACAGTTACGTTAAACACTGTAACAAAGCAGCATTTTAATTTGTGTTATGCTGTTACATGGCTGATTAAATTAAAAACAGTAACTGGTGTATAATGCTGTATACTGCTGTGTACTGCTGTGTACTGCTGTGTACTGCTGTATACTGCTGTGTACTGCTGTGTACTTCTGTGTACTGCTGTGTACTTCTGTATACTGCTGTGTACTGCTGTGTACTGTAACCCTGTCCATGTTGTCCTCCAGCTCTCCTGTCTCAGGTCCTGGTTCTGGCAGCAGTTCTGGTTCTGGTCGTCATCGCCATCTTCTTCCTCATCGTCCTCATCGTCCTCTGGAGAAAGGTCAGTATTCTGTTTTAGTATTATCAGTACTATGATACCTGCAGTACCTCAGGGTACCGCCAGTACTTCCTGTTTGGTGACGTCAGTACTTCCTGTTTGGTGACGTCAGTACTTCCTGTTTGGTAGAAGCCGCGGTACGAGGCCCGCTGGAAGCTGATGGAGTCGGTGAGTCCGGACGGACCGCAGAACATCCTGGACCTCCACAGCTGGGAGATACCCCGGAACAACGTAGTACTAGGTAATACCCCGGGACAACGTAGTACTAGGTAATACCCCGGGACAACGTAGTACTAGGTAATACCCCGGGACAATGTAGTACTAGGTAATACCCCGGGACAACGTAGTACTAGGTAATACCCTCTGCCTTTCTGTCTGTCTGTCTCTCTACCTGTCTCTCTACCTGTCTCTCTCTCTCTGTCTCTCTACCTGTCTCTCTACCTGTCTCACTACCTGTCTGTCTGTCTCTCTACCTGTCTGTCTGCAGGTCAGGTGTTGGGTTCAGGGGCATTCGGCCGTGTTGTTGAGGCGAGCGTCTCTGACCTGATTCACTCTCATTCTAACACTAAAGTGGCCGTCAAGATGGTGAAACGTAAGTACCTGTCTGTGTGTCTGTCTGTCTGTCTGACTGCCTGTCTCTCTGTCTGTGTGTCTGTCTGTCTCTCTGTCTGTCTCTCTGTCTGTCTCTCTGTCTGTCTCTCTGTCTGTCTGTGTGTCTGATTACTAAGATTGTAAATGGTGTGTGTGTGTGTGTGTGTGTGGTTGTCTGTGTGTGTGTGTGTGTCTTTAGAGCGCAGTGGGGTCCAGTCCCTGGTCTCGGAGCTGAAGGTCCTCATGCACATCGGTCCTCACCTGAACCTGGTCAACCTGCTGGGAGCGTGCACGAGAGGAGGTGTGCACGTTATTCAGGCAAACTTTATTTAAACAGACCCACATCACAAACACCAGCCCAGTCTGGGGGGGGGGGGGGGGGGGGGCACTGAGTCACCTGTCTGCCTGTCTGTCTCTCCAGGACCTGTCTATCTGATCACTGAGTTCTGTCGTCATGGAGACCTGGTGAACTACCTGCAGAGGAACAAACACACCTTCCTGCAGAGCGACACACACACAAAGAGGTCTCTCACTCACTTTTTCACACACACACACACACACACACACACACACACACACACACACACACACGCGCGCACACACACACACACACACACACACACACACACACACACACACACACACACACACACACACACACACACACACACACACACCTTCCTGTCTAATGAAGGTGTCTCCTCAGTGATGGTGATGGAGGCTACATGGATATGACCTCAGAGACTCAGTACGTCACCGTGAAAGAGCTAAGCCCCGCCCACATCCAGCCTGCGGAGTACGAGGAGCTGTGCACCCCCGCAGGTACACACAATGTGATACAAGTACACCCCCGCAGGTACACACAATGTGATACAAGTACACCCCCGCAGGTACACACAATGTGATACAAGTACACACCCGCAGGTACACACACTGTGATACAAGTACACACCTGCAGGTACACACACTGTGATACAAGTACACCCCCGCAGGTACACACACTGTGATACAAGTATACACACTGTGATACAAGTACACACCGACAGGTACACACACTGCAATACAAGTACACTGAGTACAGTAATAATAGGGTGACCCTGTGTAACCACAGTCTGTGTAATGGCTGTATAATAGAGAGGTTTCTCACATGATGCGTTCAATGAGCAGCAGAGGTTTGTGTTCTCATGAGGCTGTGAAAGTGACACAGATTCAGGCTGAAGGTCTCCTTGTGTTGGTGCTGTTTGTGTTTCAGGCCAGCAGGAGGCACCGCAACCCCTCAGCGCCGCCCCCCCCCCTCAGCCTCATGGACCTCCTCAGCTTCTCCTTCCAGATCGCCCAGGCCATGGACTTCCTGTCCTCCAGAAACGTACGGTCAGCAGAATAAACTGCGACTCAGCAAAAAAGTCTCTGACTGCTTCTGCTGCTCCTTCTCCTTCTGCTTCTCCTTCTCCTTCTCCTTCTCCTTGCTTTGTGTTGAAATGAGTCTTTAACAATAACCAGAATAATACATGTTATTTGGAAGGAGCTTTTCCTAGGGGGCTCCTCTTTGTGGCTGTTTAATGCTAATGCTAATGTGTGTTGGTAGGGGGTCTGAAGGACTGAAAGAGGTGTCCTCAGAGGACCCTCCTCAGTGAATAAATGAGTGTGTGTCCTCCTCAGTGAGTATATTGGCGCATTTCCACCATGGTGCGGAGCACGGTTTAAGCGTGCCGTGTCGTGCCGGGCCCGTCTTTGGTTGCGTTTCCACTAGGCCTAGTTCCGGCCCGGGGGTACTTTTTCACCTCTTTTCTGGCCCGACAAAATCGTGGTTCTATCGGGGCCAACAAACAGGGCTGAGTCGGGCTGAGTTTGCTAAACTAGAGAGAGAATCGCTGGCAAGGGGGCTACAACTACAACAAGATGAACATATTTGACCGTGATTTAATTGTAATACACGTTTCAAAATGATGCCGAAGTAACAACATACTGATACCGGTTAGTAAAAACCATGAATTAATGTTTGGAGAAGTCTGCAGACAGACGGCAGGCGAAAAACCTTTTAAAATGCGTGTTGTCTAAATGGAGATCGGCTAAGCTAACGCAGTGTATGCTCCGACCGTCCACACTCACAACAACGGCCTACAGACATAAATAAACCAGCGACTGTACTCGCCATGACACAGACAGTCTGTGGTTTGTACTTGTTTAACTTTTGTCTAGTTTCTGAACAGATATGAGGAGCTCTGAGCTCTGAGTGCTAACAGCTAACGGCTGTGTTGTTTTTCTGGGGTGCTCATTGAAGATGACGTCACGGCTCCGCCTACACTGCGTTACTATAGTTACTGCCCCAGTTCCTAAACTGTAATGGAAGCGCAGCATTAAAGTGAGCCGGGCCTAACCAGGCCTAACAAGGCCTAACAAAACCGTACTAAGTCGAGCGAGGCCTGCGGTGGAAATGCGCCATATGAGTGTGTGTCCTCCTCAGTGAGCATATGAGTGTGTGTCCTCCTCAGTGAGCATATGAGTGTGTGTCCTCCTCAGTGAGTATATGAGTGTGTGTCCTCCTCAGTGAGTATATGAGTGTGTGTCCTCCTCAGTGAGTATATGAGTGTGTGTCCTCCTCAGTGAGTATATGAGTGTGTGTCCTCCTCAGTGAGTATATGAGTGTGTGTCCTCCTCAGTGAGCATATGAGTGTGTGTCCTCCTCAGTGAGTATATGAGTGTGTTTCCTCAGGTCGTCCACAGGGACCTGGCAGCCAGGAACGTCCTGGTCTGTGAGGGGAAGCTGCTGAAGGTCTGTGACTTCAGTCTGGCCAGAGACCTGATGAAGGACCAGGACTACATCGCCAGAGGGACCGTGAGGAACCTTCTTTTATCTTTCTCACGTGTAAACCTTATCCCTGAGTTGCTCTGAGCCAGCCCTATGTCCTCAGAGCTTCCTGCCCGTCAGGTGGATGTCTCCGGAGAGCCTCTTCCAGAACCTGTTCAGCTGTCAGAGCGACGTCTGGTCCTACGGGGTCCTGCTGTGGGAGCTCTTCTCTCTGGGTAAGGGTTAGAGAGATCTCACTCGTCCCCGGCTTGAGCTTCAATCTCAGGATCCATGTATTTGTCATCCTCTCCAGAATGGAAGTAGTCATCACATACAGAGCATCAACTAGTTCCTGAACAGTGTCCTTCACATGCTGACATACAAGAGAAGGAGTTACCCCTAGATTCCACCGGGTCCGTCTGCGCCGCGTTACGGCTGCGCCGCGGTTTTGGTCCGGCCTCCTCCGGCGTCATACCCTACCAGGCGCGTTTCAGAAGCATTTCAGAAGCGGAGCGTCTTGCCTGCCGGCTCGCAGTTTTTGTTGATTTGGGCATATTTCCTGGACAGGCTACTTTGTACAGACAAAGTTAATAATAACTGTAATATTCCAGTTATAAACGACATGAATCAAAGATGTGTTGCTGTATTTTAGTGGTAAAAAAATGCATTCATCATCATAATTATTCTATATATATAATTTACACAGTGCCTGTAAACCGGAGGAGAACGCTGGCATTTCTCCTCCTACTTGAAAGACTACGGAGGGATAGGGTCTGCAAAATGAGTTTGTGTGTGTGTGTATATATATATATATATATGCTATATATGCTCTGAACGTTCCACTTCCTGCCTGCCTGACATTACCTTACGGCTGCGTCGCATCAAAAATAGGATTCATCCTAATTTTAGAGGAGCCCTGCGCCGAGCCGCTTCTGGGACGCTTCTGAGCTGTAACGCGCCGCGTGTGGTGGAATAGCACCCATTGACTAGAGTGGCCGCGATCGCCGTGGCGCAGCCGTAACGCAGCCGTAACGCGGTCATAATGCGGTCGTAACGCGGTCGTAACGCGGTCGTAACGCGCCGCAGACGGACCCGGTGGAATCTAATTCTGAATTTTTCTAAAAATCTCAAAATTCTGACTTTTTCTAAAAATCTCAAAATTCTGACTTTTTCTAAAAATCTCAAAATTCTGACTTTTTCTTAAAATCTCAAAATTCTGACTTTTTCTAAAAATCTCAAAATTCTGAATTTTTCTAAAAGTCGCAAAATTCTGACTTTTTCTCAAAATCTCAAAATTCTGAATTTTTCACAAAAGTCTGACTTTCTCACAAAATCTCAAAATTCTGACTTTTTCGAAAAATAAAAAAATTATGACTATCTCAAAATTATGACTTTTTCTCAAAATCCCCAAATTATGACTTTTTCTCAAAAAATCGACTTGTTCTCCAAAATCTCAAAATTCTGACTTTTTCAAAAACATTATGACTTTTTCTAAAAATTATGACTTTTTCTAAAAATTATGACTTTTTCTAAAAAATCTGACTTTTTCCCAAAAATCCCCAAATTCTGACTTTTTTCAAAAGTCTGACTTTTTCACAAAAGTCTGACTTTCTCACAAAAGTCTGACTCTTTCACAAAAGTCTGACTTTCTCACAAAATCTCAAAATTCTGACTTTTTCTCAAAATCTTATACATGTCAATAATCACTGGTCCCCAGCTTGATCTTCAATCTCAGGATCCATGTATTTGTGATCCTCTCCAGAATGGAAGTAGTCATCACATACAGAGCATCAACTAGTTCCTGAACAGTGTCCTTCACATGCTGATATCCAAGAGAGGGAGTTACACAGTCACAAGATGGAGGAATATAAAGCAGTATTCAATGTTTACTTCAGATTAGCTCCACGTCAGAAATGATCATGCTTGTCATATGTCTATCTCCATAGAGGCTGAATCATCATGTTAATCACATAGCTATCATATGCCTAAAACAGTCCTGATGCTCTTCTAGGTAATCATACATCCTGTCATGTACACAGCTACAGTTGGGATACCTTTGTTATCATGTTACTCTCACATTGGAAGAGGACATTCAGGATTTTCCCAACAGTAAACCATGACAACACACTGGGAAATAAGAGGAACATGTGTCAAAATGGTTTCCGCTGTGTTTCAGGTGCGAGTCCGTACCCCGAGCTGCCGAGGACTCAGGACTTCTGCTCGTCTCTGAAGACAGGAAACAGGATGACCCGCCCCGAACACGCCCCTCTCAACATGTAACATCAAACCCACCAATCACTGACCACCCTCTGTACGCCTCATACAGCTGATGCCACTTCCTGTCTCTCCCCAGGTACGACCTGATGAAGGTGTGTTGGGCGGAGAGTCCTCAGTCCAGACCCTCCTTCTCCTCGCTGGTGGTCTCGGTGGGGAACCTGCTGATGGAGGACTACAGGAAGGTATCACATGACTTATCTTGATCAATTCAGCCCAATTCCAAACCGCCCCCTACCAGAGATGGAGTACTCGAGTCCTGGACTCAGACTCGAGTGCCGATTTTCGGGACTCGTGACTCGACTCGGACTCCCGCACTGATTGACGCGACTCGGACTTGGACTCGTGAATTCTCGCGCACGATGACTTGGACTCGGACTCGGACTCGTGAATTATCGCGTACGCTGACTTGGACTCGGACTCGGACTCGTGAATTTTTCCCCCCATGATGACTCGGACTCGACTTGTACATTGACGCTCCGACTTGGACTCGGACTCGGACTCGAGCAAGTTTTCTATGGAGTCTGATGTCCTCTATCCTGGCGTGTGCACCGGCTGCGAGGCGAGTTCACGTACTGGGCCCCGCTATTCCAGTCTAAAGATGTCTAGAGACACACCCCGCATCGTGCTGTATGCTTTCACACATTCTGCTTCCACATTGGAAAAGAGCAGCGCAAAATGCTCTATGTGGAAACAATATTGAAGAGAAGGCTCCGTAACACATTACTCTAAACATCGAGTTCAGACATATAGGCTGTCTTGAACACTATCATCAGAGTAACGTGATCTAATCAATACATAAAGATTCAGCCGATAACACGAAAGCATATGGCTACTTAACATGCAGAATGACGTCATTTTGCATGCTAAGTAGCCATGTGCTTTCTGGGGCTAAATCTTTATCAGTAAACCGATTTAACCGGTAAAAGTTCCTTCAAAATAAGAGTCCCGATCTTATTACTATCAAAATAAAAGTGCAAAACGAAAACTTTACCATAGGAAAATATTGGCATACAAATATAATCACTTCTCTAAAAGGTAACTCATTTTAAACATAGTTTATATATAATAATAATAATAATAATATTAATATTAGTAATAAGCTTTATATTTGTATAGCACCTATTACAAGAATTGTAGCCAAACTGGCTTCACAGCAGTTCAATAGACAGATTAGTATAACATGGATAACAGGATAAAAGCAATGTAGAGGAGCAGCTACATTTCAACACATATATCCATGAAGATTAATACATGAAGACTTGTGACTCGGACTTGACTTGGACTCTTCTTAGGTGACTCGGACTTGGACTCGGACTCGAACACAGGTAATGATGACTCGGACTCGGACTTGACTCGGACACTCCTTGGGTGACTCGGACTTGGACTCGGACTCGAACACAGGTAATGATGACTCGGACTCGGACTCGACTCGGACATTCCTTGGGTGACTCGGACTTGGACTCGAACTCGACTACGACTCTCCCTTGGTGACTCGGACTTGGACTCGGACTCGAAGAGTGGTGACTCGAGAGTGACTTGGACTCGTGAATTGGTGACTTGACTACAACACTGCCCCCTACACCCTACATCCGCCACATCAAGTGCTGTTCCAATCCAACGAGTGTTGAGGGAGAGTGGGTTATCAAGCCTCTAGAGCAGGGGTGGGGAACCTCCGGCCCCCGGGCCGTATACGGCCCGCGAGACCATTTAGTATGGCCCTCGAGGTAATTTATAAACACACGCAAAAAAGAAAAAAATTAAAGAAATCTAGACCGCAAACAAATTAAACAAGCGAGTGCCTGTTTTTCTTGAACACAACACGAGCCTAACGTGTCATCACGTGGTATATGTCTCGTCTGACAGGGGTGCAGTTCTGACGGAGAGCACCAGAACGCGGCTCCGGCACTTCCAAAAATTGCAGTACCCATAAGGACCTGTACCAGTGGCGATCTGCTCATCTGTCATACTGATCATACAGTCAATAACTTTGTTGTTATTAGCATCTGGTTAGCTAGCTATGCTAACGAATATAAGAAGCTTTCTCTACAACCAGTGAGGTAAAGGCACATCTTTATATGATCATTATAGTTATAAAACAATAAGAGAATAAAGTAAACAGGTATAAAATACTATATGACAGTAAAAAAAGTTGTTATTAATAAACAAGAATACAGTTTGAAAGGAGAGTGATTTGTAAAATATCCATAAAATAAATCTGCTTCCAGTTCTGTTTCATATGTTGAGAGATGTTTCCATAGATCTCTCATGTTGCTCTCAGAGTGCACCAGATTGATGCTTTTAACTTCAACATTTAAAAACAAATAATCTTCCTGGGGGAGCATGCCCCCGGACCCCCCTGGAGGAGGTGAGGTCCCCCCTAGAGGAGGTGAGGACCCCCCTAGAGGAGGTGAGGACCCCCCTAGAGGAGGTTAGGTCCCCCCTAGAGGAGGTGAGGACCCCCCCCACTTAAATCATGTCCACATGGATAGGAAACTAAATACATTTGCTCACATCTTGTGTCCATATCTTTCTGTTTTGGTGGTCATGCCACACCGTGCACGTAGTATTTTTAAGCAGAGGTCAATCATTTGTGCGGCCCTCGGAGGATGTTGAAAAAATTGAAATGGCCCTTGGGAGGAAAAAGGTTCCCCACCCCTGCTCTAGAGAGAATAGAGTTGGCCGTGATTAGAGATGGGGTTGAGGTGTGGCCATGCTCCTGAACCTAGGTTACCAAATGGACTTCATATACATTTGATTTGAAACGGTTGTTGTCTATAGTTCATTTCCTGTTTCTCCCGGAGAGAGGGGAGTTCGTCCCAAAACCTCCTGCTGGTTTTATCCCCTCCACCTGGAAGAAGCAGCCTCGTTAATCTGAGAGACTACAGACGGAGTTCACTCCATCAGGAGGGGAGTGGGTAGGGTGTGGATGGTGGCCTCTGTCAGTCTCTGAGCAGGACTCAGCTTCCTGTTGTGTTTCAGCGCTACCTGCAGCTAACGGAGGACTTCCTGTTGTGTTTCAGCGCTACCTGCAGCTGACGGAGGACTTCCTGTCCAGTCCGGCTGTGCTCAGATCCAGACGGAGTTCACCGGGAGCTGATGGGGGTCCGACGGACGCTCAGAAACATGGTATTTAATATCCTTTTAATCAATTTATCATCGTTATATTCTTTAATGATCACCCGCTGTGTGATGTTTACAGGAAGCCCCGATGCTCAGGTATTGGAGGTGGGGCCAGAGGAGGCAGGCTCCTCCCACACGACCTACATCATCCCCATCACTGACGTCACCATAGAAACCAGGGGGGGGGCCGCGCAGGACGCAGCCAGGTAACAGCTGAGATTACACAGGAAGGTGTTCACAGATCATAGTTAACCTGAGCAGCAACACGTGAAGAAGAACCACCATCTGTAGAGCCTTGTGCTGCAGAAGCTCTTTTCACCCTCTGTCTGAAACCAGAGCTCAGTCTGCTCTGATTGGTTATTTTTTCCCAAATGTTGGAAAAAAAAATCAGAATTCCTAAATTTTCAGGGGGAAAAATCTGAATTGTTAATCATTTGAAAAAAGTCAGACATTTTGAAAAAATATTTTTTTTTTGGAAAAAGTCAGAATTTTGAGATGATCATACTCTGTGCTGCAGCACCTATTTTCACCCTCTGTCTGAAGCCAGAGCCCAGTCTGCTCTGATTGGTTAGCTGGTCGGCTCTGTTTTGATTGGTCAACAGCTTAGAGATGTCCCGCCCCTTAGCCTATCACGTACAATGTGTTCAAGCGCTGGCCAATTATCTGACCCTCAACGTCTCCTTCCCTCAACGTTTTCTCTCTGCAGCCCTCAGCTGTCCCAGTCTCAGGACACACAGGAGGGGACATCACCTGAGGACACACAGGAGGGGACATCACCTGAGGACACACAGGAGGGGACATCACCTGAGGACAGACAGGAGGGGACATCACCTGAGGACAGACAGGAGGGGACATCACTTGAGGAAGAGGAGAGCTCTCTGTGATGCCTGAGCTGCCTTACAGTCAGGACTGAGGGCTTCATTAACTCTGAGCTGCCTTACAGTCAGGACTGAGGGCTTCATTAACCCTGAGCTGCCTTACAGTCAGGACTGAGGGCTTCATTAACCCTGAGCTGCCTTACAGTCAGGACTGAGGGCTTCATTAACCCAGAATCCCCTGACAGACAGCACTGAGGGCTTCATTAACCCAGGATCACCCTCAGTGCTGTCTGTCAGGCTGCTGAACCTAAAGAGCTTCATACTATCTTTATTATATCTGTATCTGAGAGGTCTCTGTGTATATCTGTGTTATTCAAAGTGCTTTAAGACGTCTGATGTGACTCCTGAAATAAAGAGTTCATTGAAGTATGAAAATGTTATTGAGCGTCAACATGTTGAGAAACAGCTTCCTGTCTTCCTGTGGGTCCTGGAGAAGTGCTGAGTACTGAGTGTCCTCACAGCGACTCTCACTTCCTCTTCCTCCAGTTAGACCTCCAAACACCAGAGACATCAGGGACATCAGAGACACCAGAGACATCAGGGACATCAGAGAGACCAGAGACATCAGGGACATCAGAGACATCAGAGACACCAGAGACATCAGGGACATCAGAGACATCAGGGACATCAGAGACATCAGGGACATCAGGGACATTAGAGACATCAGGGACATCAGGGACAACAGAGACATCAGAGACAGCTATTACTATATAATACCACGCAGGGATAAGCCAGAGCGTACAACCTTTGCATGTGGGCACAACACGTTTTGACCCAGTTTGATTCATATGATATCGCCCGGGGAAGTCGTCATACTTATACATATATAAATAAAGATATATGTGTCAAAGCTCTAATCAAATTAACAGTTTAAGTTGTATTAATTGTATTAATTATAGTATATATATATATGTATATAGCCAGTGTGTTGTATATTTATACACACAAATGAACAACCTTTGTTGTCAAAAAACAAATAACAAGATGTATTGTATCCTTTACAACAGATTCCACTATGGTTGGGGATGTCTGTAAAAAAAGGAGAAATAATCTTAAACAAAACAAGTGTCACAATATAGGGAAACAAACTGTGACAAAAACATATCAATTAGTTCAGAATCAGAATACATTTACATTGTTACAGCAGAAAAGAGCCAAAGACAGCCTACTGTTACTTAAAGTATGCATACAAAAAGTATTAAAGATTAAAAAAAATAAATTATAATAAAAATAGTTACACATTTTACAAAATACACATCCTGTAACAGTTTGGAGGATTTAGCAGCCTGGTATATTACACAGTTTTAGCGGCATATATATTGCACATATTGCACATGGTTGGTATTTAACAACAAGGGGTGTTATAGTCTGTGTTGTAGTGTGTGATATTGGTATTTATGAAAACATTTGACACCTTTCCTTCAATTACTATACGTTTTAGTTACTTGTGGGGTACTTAACATGAATAATCACAGTTACTATCAATCACAGTTACTATCCATCACATTTCAATGAGAAATCAACACAGTCTCACTCCATAAACGTCCAGGAGCAACGCTTGGTCAGGGTCCCGTGGCGTGCAGCAGTTGGGACGCTCCTAGGCTCCTTCAGCTTCATAAACGGACGCAAAGAGCTTTCAACTGATTGCAATGTATTCCCATCGGCGGCGGTATTTGACGCTCAGGGAAGCACTGCATCGGTCCATGTCGGCGGCAGTTAAAGGCAATGTGAGCGTCCATTCCCATCGGATAACGGAGGATTTTACACCCGGAAGTAACTATTCTCCTTACTGTTGATTGATTTGACAGTGATATCTGCACTACTCATCAACTCAAAAACACCAGATTATCCTTGTTAATTACACAACATTGATTGGTTTAAATTGTGTACAATGCTTTTGTGTTTTTCCCCTTCGATTCAGAGAAACAAATATTTTTTCGGAGTTTAGGATGGCAGAAGACACTACACTACCCAGAATCCTCAGCTATCGTTTGGGACGACACCATGTGCTCTGTTTGACAAACCCCGTGATTAGTTCTCAAGCTCTGTGATTGGATGTTGGAGTGGCAGTGCGCAAAGTTTACACGGAGCGTCAAACAGCACTTTGAAATGGAATGAAACCCATCGACGGCACACTATCCAAATCAAGACTCGAACGTGTCCTATCCCCCCCCCCCCCCTTAGGTCACAGGCTCCTCCAACAGTGCAACACAATAAAACAGATACACAGAACAAATAGTGCAAGTAAATACAAAAAGATAAATAGTAAAAAAAATAGTAAAAAGTGAAATAGTGCAATAAGAGTCTATATACAAGTGATTGGAATATGATATATTAGATAAATAATTTCTAAGTAGCAGCCAGATGAATGTTATGGATGTTGTTTCAAAGTTCAGGTGTTTAATAGTCTTCTGGCCTGTGGGATGAAGCTGTCCCTGAGTCTGGTGGTTTTAGTCCGGATGCTGCGGTACCGCCTGCCAGACGGCAGCAGACAGAACAGTTTGTGGCTGGGGTGATGGGGGTCTTTTATAATCCTGAGGGCTTTCTTTAAGGTTAACCTGGTATTTTTACTACATTTATTTTAGTTACTTTACAGATTTGGATTAATGATGTGAAATATAAACAACCCTTAAATCAGACTTTAGTTACACCTGAGTAAAATTCAGTGAAGGTGATTGTCAAGTGCCAACAATCAGGAAAGATATTTGATAGTTGGTGCTTGAGAAGACTAAATATTTATCTGCAGATCTCTATAAAGCATATTCATTACTCGTTATTCTCTAATTGTTCATCAAAAACTGTGTATAATGGATATTTTGCACATCCCTTTCAAGATTTCAAGATTTCAAGATTTTCAAAGATTTATTGAAATATCATATACACAACTACGGTGTAGTTATGCAATGATGACAAACTTGGGTCATAGGTTCCTCAACAAGAGATCTATCAATATGTGTGTACCTCCACCATTAAACTGTCATATTCTGCACATTTCTTATTCTATCTACATACATCTTATAAGAGTATAATAAATATGTATAATATCAGTTAAAATAAGTGCTTCAACATAGTTAACATTGCAGGAAAGTTGATTCTCAAGTCCCAAAACAAACCATGCAATATATTAAACGTTAAGTACTTTGTCAGGCTTAATATAGATACCCCCAAAGCTTTTTGCTTATTTAAAAGAAGACCTTAACCTAAAGTATTATTTAATGTTTAAATAAAGCCTAATTAGTTTGTCTGTTTTGCACATCCTCCTATTAATATCTTTGTACATCCGGCACTAAACTGTTTTATTCTAGATACCATTTACAGTATCTTCTTGATATTTTCTATTCTATATTTCTATCATTGACCTTCTACTTTCCTCCTATTTTGTATATACTCTTAATATTTAAACGTTTTCATCAAATATAACACATTCAAAAGTGCTTTACAAAAATGAAAGACATTAAGAAAAAGGCATTTTAAACAGTCATTAAAAAGCAACACAATCTACCTGCATTGCAATGACTCTAAATGTGTAATAATGTGCTTTAACCAGTAGGAGGTGCGGGTTAAAAAGCTGTCAAGTTTACAGTGTTAACAAAATAAAATATACTGCTGTTTCCGGTTTAGTTTACGACGGATATATTCTGTTATTGTTTTGATATTTGTAACACAAAAGCGATGTAAAAAACCCACAGCAACACAGAAAAGATGGTCTTAACATGACCCAGCGGTCTAGTAGTTCATAAAAAACAATAATGTCAAAACTAAATATTACTACTAACTTTATTGTGAAATTAAAACAGAACGGTAAAAGAATAGTTTCCGGTCTATTCTGAGGCCGATCTCTGTAGATAAATAAAGAACTACGACAGATGTGTAATATTTAATGCAGCCGAACCATTTATTACAATGCATTCATGTGATGACTTTCAAAGAGTAAAGTAAGCACTGCTGAATAAAGTATGATTTTATCTTTTACGAAACGTTTTTTTTCATTGGAATGCAGTTGGAGGTCAACCAATCACAGAGCTTGAGAACTAATCACAGGGTTTGTCAAACAGAGCACATGGTGTAGTCCTAAACGATAGCTGGGGATTCTGGGTAGTGTAGTGTCTTCTGCCATCCTAAAAAATATTTGTTTCTCCGAATCGAAGGGGAAAAATACAAAAGCATTGCACACAATTTAAACCAATCAATGTTGTGTAATTAACAAGGATAATCTGGTGTTTTTGAGTTGATGAGTAGTGCAGATATCACTGTAAAATCAATCGATAGTAAGGAGAATAGTTACTTCCGGGTGTACAATCCTCCGTTATCCAATGGGAATGGACGCTCACATTGCCTTTAAACAGCCGCCGACATGGACCGGTGCGGTGCTTCCATGAGCGTCAAATACCGCCACCAATGGGAATACATTGCAATCAGTTTAAAGCTCTTTGCGTCCGTTTATGAAGCTGAAGGAGACTCTGCGCGTCCCAACTGCACGTCACGGGACCCTGACCAAGCGTCGCTCCTGGACGTTCAGGGAGTGAGACTGTGTTGAAATAGGCTATTGTTATTTTAACTCCACCACAGTAATCCATCATCAGCTTTACTTTTTAGATAAAGATTTAACTCACAATTGATCATAACAGACTTCAAAATACATATTTTTTTATATATTACCAAGTGGTTTCATGTACAACCCACAAAAGTATCATGCTAAATTAAGCTCTGTTGCTTGGATCAGCGTAATATAAAAGTACATAACGAATTATGTTCACATTAGCATAACTACTAGCTAGCCGCTAGCTGCTAACTGCAGCGGCCGCCTCGTTAATATCAAAATCCATCATATAACAATCCAGTACCATGCTGTCATGAATGCGCGGTGCTGGTACAAGTACGCAAATTGACGTGCTTGATGTGAACGAGCCTTTTGGGGGGCGTGGTTAAAGTAGCGCATGCTCAATAGCCGCGTTCACACCGGAGTACTTTTCACCGTACTTTTCGCGTTTAGTTCCGTTAGTACCCCTTATGTCGCGTTCACACCAAAAAGAGCACTTAATCTCGGGAACTTTTACCGCCATGTTTAGTGCCTGCTGAGAGATGGTACTTTCCTGGGGGAAAAAAGTGCCCCAGTTCTGATTGGCTGGGCGAATTGCAAACCACGCCCCGTACAACTCTGAAATGTTTTGTTGAGCTGCCATTTTATTATGCTCGCATTAGCATTATTAGCATTAGCATTCGCCCAGCGCACAAACGCAGAGAGACTAACTTATGGCAACACAAAATAAAACATGGGAGCGGTGGAGATGAGGAGGTGTCGGCGTTCCGGCGATTTACTCTGAAGGCTTCTACTGCCGCCCCTGCCGCCCCTGCTTGACCGGTACTTGCTTTTGATCAAAGTCAATACGGAAAACCCGCACTCACACTGGTAGGTGGAGGTGAAGGGAATGAGCACTTTTACAGCCTTTTTGGCGAGGTGGGGGAAATGCTGTAGTGTTTTCTGAAATGCTGTAGCGTTTTGTCAAATGTTGTTTTGACTTGCACTTCAGGGCCACCGTATGTGTAAACACAGACCATATTGCTTCTAGAACACGTCTCATTGTTTCTGACAGCAACGTTTCTGATTGGCCCGTGGGTGTAAGGCCCGCCCACATTTGAGTAATGTGGTCATGATGCAGCAAATCTGGATCAGCTCCGTTGTTCCCCCATTTTTAGGAAAGAATGGCTGCAGCTGGACACGGAGGTGAAGAGAGATCGCTCACAGCGCAGCATCGGGCCGAGAAAGGGAGGAAAACCCCGGGGCGTCATCGTGAAGCTTCACTACGACGGTGACTGAGTGGAGATTCTGAGGAAAGAGCCCGGGCCCCGCTGAGCCTTCAGAAGCCACATCGCTATATTCCCCGACTACCCAGTGTCGCCGGAGCAGGAGCGGCATTTTCCAATAACAGGAAGGCGCTGGTCTCTCCGGACAAAAGAAAAGGAGTTCCTGAAAGCCATGGACTACGTGAATACTGGTCACACCACTTCACGTCTGAGAATCAGAGGCTGAGTGACAGTGTGCTGTTTAAAGATGATTTAACACGTATTATATCTTGTTTTCATTGATACCTCTGCGGGAGCCTGTTACAGAGGTGTAGTTTACCGTCTGCTCTCCTCCTCAGGATGGGTGAGTCTCAGAGAGGAACCTCCCCCCCTCAGAGAGGAACCTCCCCCCTCAGAGAGGAACCTCCCCCCCTCAGAGAGGAACCTCCCCATCAGAGAGGAACCTCCCCCCCTCAGAGAGGAACCTCCCCCCCTCAGAGAGTCTCAGAGAGGAACCTCCCCCCCTCAGAGAGTCTCAGAGAGGAACCTCCCCATCAGAGAGGAACCTCCCCCCCTCAGAGAGGAACCTCCCCCCCTCAGAGAGTCTCAGAGAGGAACCTCCCCCCCTCAGAGAGTCTCAGAGAGGAACCTCCCCCCCTCCCCCCTCAGTCCTCCCAGTCCTCTGAAGATGAAGGTTCTTCTTCTGCTGCTCAGCCTCTGCTTCGCTTCAGGTAGAAACACTGCTGGTATTCATTATTAAATATCATCATTATTATTATTATTCTGTCTGTGTGTGTGTGTGTGTGTGTGTGTGTGTGTGTGTGTGTGTGTGTGTGTCTGTATGTGTGTGTGTGTGTGTGTGTGTGTGTGTGTGTGTGTGTGTGTGTCTGTGACCGTGAGGAGGAGTAAAGAAGAAGTTAAATCACTTTGTTCATTAAGAAGTTATTCATATTAATAAAAACTAAGAGTTAGATTCACAGTTTAATCGTTATGTGGTTAAAATATAATATATGTTGATGTTGATGAAAGGAATAATAATGACTTAAAACAATTATAATACATTATAAACACATAATATATATTTAAAAGATAATCAAATCAAAACAAAAATTATAACATGTTGTCGTGGTAACCCTCCCTTTACCGCTCCTCAACAAAGAAGAAGTGAGACGAGGAAGTGGGAGAAACACACACACACACACACACACACACACACACACACACACACACACACACACACAGACACACACACACACACACACACACACACACACACACACACACACACACACACACACACACACACACACACACACACACACACACACACACACACACTCACACACAGTGCGGTCTGGTGTTCAATGTGTTTCCTGACTCTCCAAGGTTTCATCACACTGCCCCCCCCCCTCTCTAACTGCAGAAACTCCTGTTAGCATTACCATTATTTAGACAAATAACTCTGTCAGTGATGAAGTGGGGGGGGGGGGGGGGGGGGGGGGGGGGGTGATATCTGGTTTTATTTCGGTGATATCTGGTTTTATTTCACCTGAAACGTTCAGCTTTCTTTTGGAAATACTTTAACCATTTAATATATTATTTTAACTTTTCTCTCTAAAAAAGCTTTTTTCTTCTACAGTTATAAAACTTTAGAGACACCACATATTCCTGCTGGTGGTTTTTTCCAGAATGATTATAAAACTCGTTCCCTTTCACTCTTTATGTTGAATAAAAACAACAGACTTCTTCCCACAGTCTCCTCTCTCAGTCACACACTCTTTAAAACATGCTGCGTTGTGGGACGGTGAATACTGTTTGTATCAGGACTTTTATTTTGAACACCGGAGGACTGTCAATGTTGTAAGTGTTCAGACTTTTATTCTGAAAATCAAATGAAAAGGGAATGTTTACGAGACAGGACCTTCATTCTGAAATTCTTATTCTGAAATTCAGAAGACATGTCAGGACAACACACTCTCACTCCATAAACGTCCAGGAGCGACGCTTGGTCAGGGTCCCGTGGCGTGCAGTTAGGACGCTCCGAGGCTCCTTCAGCTTCATAAAGGGACGCAAATAGCTTTAAACTGATTGCAATGTATTCCCATCGGCGGCGGGATTTGACGCTCAGGGAAGCACCGCATCGGTCCATGTCGGCGGCATTTAAAGGCAATGTGAGCGTCCATTCCCATTGGATAACGGAGGATTGTACGCCCGGAAGTAACTATTCTCCTTACTATCGATTGATTTGACAGTGATATCTCCACTACTCATCAACTCAAAAACACCAGATTATCCTTGTTAATTACACAACATTGATTGGTTTAAATTGTGTGCAATGCTTTTGTATTTTTCCCCTTCGATTCGGAGAAACACATATTTTTTCGGTGTTTAGGATGGCAGAAGACACTACACTACCCAGCATCCCCAGCTATGGTTTAGGACTACACCATGTGCTTTGTTTGACAAACCCAGTGATTAGTTCTCAAGCTCTGTGATTGGTTGACCTCCAACTGCTTTCCATATGAAAAAAAATGTTTCGTAAAAGATAAAATCATACTTTATTCAGCAGTGCTTGCTTTACTCTTTGAAAGTCATCACATGAATTGTTGGGTTCAGAATTCCAGCAAAGACAGACAACTTCTAAGTTTAACTATTTATTGTAAAGAGAGCAAAATATATATATCACTTGGCCAAGGACTCATCACGTCTTTGGGAATCACAGACAGCAAAGCTGTAATCTGTAACCACCAAATCCGCCAAGAGCCTCGAACCTCGTGCGACAATACATTTTATTACACAGGGCGTTGCCCTTACATTTATGATTGGTCAAGACTAGCTGAAGAGATACCGCGGTTTAGACTTGGTTTTCTTTGGTTGGTGCACAGACTCAGATAGAGTCTCTTGGCAACACGATCCTCCAATCAGCATTCGGCCGGCCTGTGGAAGTCCCTCCCTACTCGGGCACCATCATACTAATTTGTTTTCTCTACCGTTTCTTCAGATATTTATTCATGTTTTAAATTGAAGTTGTCTGAAGTCCTCACCACCAGCTGCTCTTGCAGTAACAAGTAGTGTACTTTTTTTATTGTCCTAATGTGCACAATGTAGTGACTGCTTTTTCGTCTTTTGTTTTCTTTGTTATGTTCTCTGTATTTTATATGTTTGTGTTATGTGTTATGTGTAACGTTGCTGCCTTCTTGGCCAGGTCAGCATTGAAAATGAGATTTTATCTCAATGTTTTTATCTGGTTAAATAAAGGTTAAATAAAAAAAATATATATAGCGGGAAACCATAATGTTGCTTCCTAGCTTTGCGGGGGAGCGCGGCTCCCATACAGAGTCAAGGCCGGTGCGATGTACTGTTCTGACTACCTCTTTGTGTTCTCTCAGTCTCTGCACTCCACCTTGATACTTTCAATATTGCAAGCTAAACACTTTCTCATGTAACTTTTCCCTCCGTTCCTGTCCACCCCATTAAAACTTGGGGGGGGGGGGGGGGTGATTGGGTCCATTTATTCCAAAGTCACAGCCACATAAATGAGCACAATAAGCTTATAATGTAATAATAAGAATCAGTCTTTCTAATGTTATATAAAAATAGACTCCACAGAATGCATTGTAATAAATGGTTCGGCTGCATTAAATATTACACATCTGTCGTAGTTCTTTATTTATCTAAAGAGATCGGGCCTCAGAATAGACCGGAAACTATTCTTTTACCGTTCTGTTTTAATTTCACAATAAAGTTAGTAGTAATAATTTGTTTTGATATTATTGTTTTTTATTAACTACTAGACCGCTGGGTCATGTTAAGACCATCTTTTCTGTGTTGCTGTGGGTTTTTTACATCGCTTTTGTGTTACAAATATCAAAACAATAACAGAATATATCCGTCGTAAACTAAACCGGAAACAGCAGTATATTTTATTTTGTTAACACTGTAAACTTGACAGCTTTTTAACCTGCACCTCCTACTGGTTAAAGCACGTTATTACACGTTTAGAGTAATTGCAATGCAGGTGGATTGTGTTGCTTTTTAATGACTGTTTAAAATGCCTTTTTCTTAATGTCTTTCATTTTTGTAAAGCACTTTTGAATGTGTTATATTTGATGAAAACATTTAAATATTAAGAGTATATACAAAATAGGAGGAAAGTAGAAGGTCAATGATAGAAATATAGAATAGAAAATATCAAGAAGATACTGTAAATGGTATCTAGAATAAAACAGTTTAGTGCCGGATGTACAAAGATATTAATAGGAGGAAGTGCAAAACAGACAAACTAATTAGGCTTTATTTAAACATTAAATAATACTTTAGGTTAAGGTCTTCTTTTAAATACATGTAAGCAAAAAGCTTTGGGGGTATCTATATTAAGCCTGACAAAGTACTTAACGTCTAATATATTGCATGGTTTGTTTTGGGACTTGACAATCAACTTTCCTGCAATGTTAACTATGTTGAAGCACTTATTTTAACCGATATTATACATATTTATTATACTCTTATAAGATGTATGTAGATAGAATAAGAAATGTGCAGAATATGACAGTTTAATAGTGGAGGTACACACATATTGATAGATCTCTTGTTGAGGAACCTATGACCCAAGTTTGTCATCATTGCATAACTACACCGTAGTTGTGTATATGATATTTTAATAAACCTTTGAAAATCTTGAAATCTTGAAAGGGATGTGCAAAATATCCATTATATACAGTTTTTGATGAACTATTAGAGAATAACGAGTAATGAATATGCTTTATAGAGATCTGCAGATAAATATTTAGTCTTCTCAAGCACCCACTACCAAATATCTCGCCTGATTGTTGGCACTTGACAATCACCTTCACTGAATTTTACTCAGGTGTAACTAAAGTCTGATTTAAGGGTTGTTTATATTTCACATCATTAATCCAAATCTGTAAAGTAACTAAAATAAATGTAGTAAAAATACCAGGTTAACCTTAAAGAAGGCCCTCAGGATTATAAAAGACCCCCATCACCCCAGCCACAAACTGTTCTGTCTGCTGCCGTCTGGCAGGCGGTACCGCAGCATCCAGACTAAAACCACCAGACTCAGGGACAGCTTCATCCCACAGGCCAGAAGACTATTAAACACCTGAACTTTGAAACAACATCCATAACATTCATCTGGCTGCTACTTAGAAATTATTTATCTAATATATCATATTCCAATCACTTGTATATAGACTCTTTTTGCACTATTTCACTTTTTACTATTAGGGGTAGGACACGTTCGAGTCTTGTTTTGGATAGTGTGCCGTCGATGGGTTTCATTCCATTTCAAAGTGCTGTTTGACGCTCCGTGTAAACTTTGCGCACTGCCACTCCAACATCCAATCACAGAGCTTGAGAACTAATCACAGCGTTTGTCAAACAGAGCACATGGTGTAGTCCTAAACGATAGCTGGGGATTCTAGTGTAGTGTCTTCTGCCATCCTAAACTCAGAAAAAATATTTGTTTCTCCGAATCGAAGGGGAAAAATACAAAAGCATTGTACACTAAAACCTATCAATGTCGTTTAATTAACAAGGATAATCTGGTGTTTTTGAGTTGATGAGTAGTGCAGATATCACTGTCAAATCAATCAACAGTAAGGAGAATACTTACTTCCGGGTGTACAATTCTCCGTTATCCAATGGGAATGGACACTCACATTGCCTTTAACAGCCACCGACACAAACGAATGCCGTGCTTCCATGAGCGTCAAATCCCGCCGCAGATGGGAATACATTGCAATCAGTTGAAAGCTATTTGCGTCCCTTTATGAAGCTGAAGGAGCCTAGGAGCGTCCCAACTGCACGCCTCGGGACCCTGACCAAGTGTCGCTCCTGGACGTTTATGGAGTGAGAGTGTGTTGGTCAGGAATTTTATTCTGAAATTCAGAAGACATGTCAGGAATTTTATTCTGAAATTCAGAAGACATGTCAGGATCTTTATTCTGAAATTCAGAAGACATGTCAGGACCTTTATTCTGAAATTCTTATTCTGAAATTCAGAAGACATGTCAGGACCTTTATTCTGAAATTCTTATTCTGAAATTCAGAAGACATGTCAGGACCTTTATTCTGAAATTCTTATTCTGAAATTCAGACGACATGTCAGGACCTTTATTCTGAAATTCTTATTCTGAAATTCAGAGGACATGTCAGGACCTTTATTCTGAAAACCCTGAGGTTTTGACGTCAGCCGTCTTCACTGCAGGTGATCACCATGACAACCCAGCCATTGCCATGACGATGGGCAAGGCCCCCGGCGCTGCCTCGGTATCGGACCGGCAGCCGGGACAGGAAGTGAGACAGGAAGTGAGACAGGAAGTGGTGGATCTGCTGACTCAGCTGCTGGACGTCCAGAAAGAAATTGCCAAGAACCAGAACCAGGTGGTCCAACTGCTCGGCATGCTGGGAACTCAGGTGGGTCACAGGATTAAAAGATAGATAGGGTTTGGTTTAGTTTATCTCAGGTTTACTTGATTTATGTTCTGTTTGGTTTATTTAGTTAATCTCAGGTTTGGTTCAGTTTAGATTATCTCACTTTTAGTTTACTTTAGTTAATCTCAGGTTTACTTTAGTTAATCTCAGGTTTACTTTAGTTAGTCTCAGGTTTGGTTCAGTTTAGTTCAGATTATCTCAGGTTTACTTTAGTTAATCTCAAATGTACTTTAGTTAATCTCAGGTTTGGTTCAGTTTAGATTATCTCACTTTTAGTTTAGTTCATCTCAGGTTTGATTCAGTTTAGTTCAGATTATCTCAGGTTTACTTTAGTTTTGATGAGTTAATCTCAGGTTTGGTTTAGTTTAGTTGATCTCAGGTTTACTTTAGTTCAATAGGGTTAGTTTAATGTAGGTAGGGTTGAGTTTTATCTGAGTCTAGTTGAGATGAACTCAGCGGTGTGACGCGGTTCTGTTTCAGGGCGAGCAGCAGATCCTGGACCTGCAGAATGTGGCCCGGCACCAGTCCCTGCTGGTGGAGAACCATCAGGCTCTGCTGCTGCAGACATCCAGGATCAGCACCGCGCTGCACGACCTCAAGAGACCTGTAGCCCCGCCCATTACTGCTCCCAGCCAATGAGAGGCTCCCTGTGTTCTAACCAGCCAATGAGAGGCTCCCTGTGTTCTAACCAGCCAATGGAAGGCTCCCTGTGTTCTAACCAGCCAATGAGAGGCTCCCTGTGTTCTAACCAGCCAATGAAAGGCTCCCTATGTTCTAACCAGCCAATGAAAGGCTCCCTATGTTCTAACCAGCCAATGAGAGGCTCCCTGTGTTCTAACCAGCCAATGAGAGGCTCCCTATGTTCTAACCAGCCAATGGGAGGCTCCCTACATTTTAGTCAAACTACAACATTGATGACTTTTATTCTTAGATAAAGAATCGAGGAACTGATGAAACTAAAACATGTTTCATCAAACAAAGTTTCTAAACGTCTTGATCTCCTTCACAGAATCTGTTGTTGTAAAGCTAGTTGTTGTAAAGCTTGTTGTTGTAAAGCTTGTTGTTGTAAAGCTTGTTGTTGTGATTTCTAAATAAAGTGATTTCAACCCATCCACCAGTGGTCGTGTTTCTGTGTACGTGCAGCACCATGAAGTAGATTGATAAAAGACTAAACTCATGTTAAGGTCCGTTAGCGTCATAAAGACAGAGTTTAAAGCTTCATTTGAAAAAACCTCAAAAGTCTTCATAAAAATATAATAACGTGTCGTAGAGCCCGGCTCTGCCTGATGATGGCAGACTGAGAGCGGCTCTTTAGCGCTCCGTTAGCGTCAGGCTAACGTTAGCGTCAGGCTAACGTTAGCGTCAGGCTAATGTTAGCGTCAGTACTCTGAGTGTTGAACTGATTGCTTGTTTCAGGTTCTCCCGAGCCTCCATGGATCCGGCTGAACTCCCAGGTTCTGCCCAACAGAACCGACCTGGTTCTGGAGGTCGGTTCTGTCTTCAGCCTCGGCTGCCATGGCAACCTGTCGTCCCGCCTATCGACCACATCGTTCACCTGGCTGTACAAGGACCAGGTGCCCAACCCAATACAGGTGAACAGTACAACCCCCAAAGACACTGGGACGTACACCTGCAGGTACACCAACCAGAGCCTGGAACACCTGCACACCTGGATACACCTGTACGTCAAAGGTGAGATACTCACAGGACACGCCCCTTTTCAGAAAGCGCAAAAAAACACCCTCTACATCTTAGAGAGAAGTAGGAACATTTCCTCATAGACTTCTATACATTAATCATCTGTCTATTTCCCATAATGCCCCTCTGTCAGACCCGGCTAACCCCTCCAGTGTTTTCGTGACGTTGCGTTATAACATCTTTGACGTCCAGGAGGGCGAGGACTTCCTATTCAGGTGTATGCTGACCGACCCCTCCTTCACTAACCTCACTCTCCAATCAGAGGACAGCTCAGGCTCCAGGGGGCGGGGCTTGCCGCTGGGCATGAATGTGACTCTGGACCCCCGGAGAGGAGCCGTTATCCGGAAGGTTCAGAGGTCGTTCAGAGGTCAATACTCCTGCTCAGGGAGGAAGGGGGGGGCGGAGTTCAGATCCAGAGCTATGAGCCTGGAGGTGCATCCCAGTAAGACCTGTCTGTCTGTCTGTTTGACTATCTGTCTGTCTGACTATCTGTCTGTCTGTCTCTCTGTCTGTCTGTCTGACTATCTGACTGTCTGTCTGTCTGTCTGTCTGTCTGACTATCTGTCTGTCTGTCTGTCTGTCTGTCTGACTATCTGACTGTCTGTCTGTGTGTGTGTTTGTCTGTGTGTCTGTCTGTCTGTCTGTCTGTCTGTCTGTCTGTCTGACTATCTGACTGTCTGTCTGTCTGTCTGACTATCTGACTGTCTGTCTGTGTGTGTGTCTGTCTGTCTGTCTGTCTGTCTGTCTGTCTGTCTGTCTGTCTGTGTGTGTGTGTGGCTGTCTGTCTGTCTGTCTGTCTGTCCATATTAAAGGGTATTAATAACCTCTGTCATTTGCAAATTGACCAATCAAAATCGAGTATACAACTAAGCTGTGTAATGAATAACAACACCTACCTGTCTGTCTGCAGGTCTGCGTCACCCCCCCTCCCTGTCTGTCAGTCAGCAGGTGTGTGTGCGTCTAAAGGGGGAGGAGTTTGAGGTCACTTGTCAGACCAGTAACCCCTCCCACTTCCTCACCCTCACCTGGACCCCCCCGCACTCAGAGGTCAGAGTCTCTGCTTTTACTCATGAGCTGATTAACTCAGGTCCTGGTTGTATGTTCTGATGTTCTCCTGTCCCCTAACGGGTCCTGGTTCTATGTTCTATGTTCTGATGTTCTCCTGTTCCCTAACGGGTCCTGATTCTATGTTCTGATGTTCTCTGGTTCTGTTTCAGACTCTGAACGTCAGGGAGACTCAGCACTACAACCACCAGCTGTTCATCAGCAGCACTCTGACGCTGTCACCTGTCCGTCAAACTCACAGCGGAACCTACATATGCACCGCCCGCAACGAGGCGGGGGCCGCGTCCGCAGAGACACTCCTCACCGTACTGGGTACACTACATCAGAACCAGAGAGTGATGTGTGGGAACCAGAGAGTGATATGTGGGAACCAGAGAGTGGGAACCAGAGAGTGATGTGTGGGAACCAGAGAGTGATGTGTGGGAAACAGAGAGTGATCTGTGGGAACCAGAGAGTGATCTGTGGGAACCAGAGAGTGGTGTGTGGGAACCAGAGAGTGATCTGTGGGAACCAGAGAGTGATGTGTGGGAACCAGAGAGTGATGTGTGGGAACCAGAGAGTGATCTGTGGGAACTAGAGAGTGATCTGTGGGAACCAGAGAGTGATGTGTGGGAACCAGAGAGTGATCTGTGGGAACCAGAGAGTGATATGTGGGAACCAGAGAGTGATGAGTGGGAACCAGAGAGTGATGTGTGGGAACCAGAGAGTGATGTGTGGGAACCAGAGAGTGATGTGTGGGAACCAGAGAGCGATGTGTGGGAACCAGAGAGCGATGTGTGGGAACAAGAGAGCGATGTGTGGGAACCAGAGACTGATGAGTGGGAACAAGAGAGTGATGAGTGGGAACCAGAGACTGATGAGTGGGAACCAGAGACTGATGGGTGGGAACAAGCGAGTGATGTGTGGGAACCAGAGAGTGATGAGTGGGAACAAGAGAGTGATGTGTGGGAACCAGAGACTGATGAGTGGGAACAAGAGAGTGATGTGTGGGAACAAGAGTGATGAGTGGGAACCAGAGAGTGATGAGTGGGAACCAGAGACTGATGAGTGGGAACCAGAGAGTGATGTGTGGGAACCAGAGAGTGATGAGTGGAAACCAGAGAGTGACAAGATGAAATCATTTTGCAGAAGCTGCGATATAAACTGATTGTTGAGTAATCTTCGTCATCTCTCCTCTTCCTCTTCTTCTTCACCAGATGCTCCGTACCTGCGAATCTACCTGCAGCCGCTGAAGCAAGCTAATGCTAACACCAACACCTTAGAGTTCAATGAGGACTCAGCTGTAAACGTTAGCAGCATGCTAATGAGGGAGCAAGGAGAGCTAGAAGCTAACATTAGCAGCGGTCCACTAGTAGTGAACAAGGAATTAACTGCTAACGTTAGCGCCAAAATAATGGAAGTGAATGGGAGCAGCAGTGCTAACACTAGCGGCAGCAGCACGGTGGAGGTGTACGAAGGGCGAGACGTGATGCTGACCTTTGTGATGGAGGCATATCCTCCAATCAGGAACCAGCACTGGACCACAACAACACTCACCAACATCAACAACGACGTCACGGGGTACAAGGGGAGCCACGGTGCTGACGGCTACAGGTAAGCCTGCTAACATTGTCAGATTTAAGGTGTTATTGTTGTTTAAGGTGGTATGTTCGTGTTAAGGTGGTATTGTTGTTTAAGGTGGTATTGTTGTTTAAGGTGGTATGTTCATGTTAAGGTGGTCTTGTTGTTTAAGGTGGTATTGTTTAAGGTTGTATTGTTTATGTTAAGGTGATGTTGTTGTTAAGGTGGTATTGTTGTTTATGTGGTATTGTTGTTAAGGTGGTATTGTTTAAGGTGGCATTGTTGTTTAAGGTGGTATTGTTGTTTAAGGTGGTATGTTCATGTTAAGGTGGTATTGTTGTTAAGGTGGTATTGTTGTTTATGTGGTATTGCTGTTAAGGTGGTATTGTTTAAGGTAGTATTGTTGTTAAGGGGGTGTTTAGCAATTTAGGGGGAAGTGTCTTGCCCAGGGACACAACGACATGCTGACTGCAGTGGGGTTTGAACCTATACCCTGATCCGAATACCAACGCCCTAGTCCACTGCGCCACACGCCTCCCCTCCACCTATTGTTGTTTAAGGTGGTATTGTTTAAGGTGGTGTTTATGTTAAGGTGGTATTGTTTAAGGTGGTATGCTCATGTTGCAGGTCGGAGGCTAGCTTGTTGCTGCGCCGCGTTCGCCCAGAGGACGGCGGTCAGTATTCGTTCCACTTTGAGAACTCGTTCTTTAACGGCTCGCAGAACATCGACCTCCAGATTTACCGTAAGTTTCCTCTCTCACGGTTTGATGATCTGTTAACATGTTCTAACCCTCTCTGATGGTTCTTCAGGTTCTCCGAGGGTCTCCGTCAGGCAGGAGAACGGATCGCTGACCTGCAGCAGCTCCGGATATCCATTACCCACAATCCTCTGGTCCACCTGCGCCGGGCTGCAGGACAGGTGAGTTCAGGTGCTCGCTAATCCTTACAGTCACATGACACACTTTACTGTAATAACCCCCCCCCCCCCCCTCCCCTCTGCAGCTGTGGAGACATTTCTACCAATCAGGAGTCAGCAGCGAATGTGACCTCACAGGAAGAGGAAGTGAGGCTGACCCTGGGGACGCCTGCTGATGATGTCACCGCAGAGTGTGTGGCCTACAACAAAGTGGGCTTGTCCCGCCAGGCCCTCCACCTGCGTAGGTGTCTCCATGGAAACACACACTGCCTTAATGTTGCTGAACTGCATCTTGTTATTGTGATATAATACCAGTGTTTATTGTGATATAACACCTGTGTTTATTGTGATATAACCCGTGTTTATTGTGATATAACACCTGTGTTTATTGTGATATAACCCCTGTGTTTATTGTGATACAACACCTGTGTTTATTGTGATATAACCCCTGTGTTTATTGTGATTTAACCCCTGTGTTTATTGTGATATAACCCCTGTGTTTATTGTGATTTAAACCCTGTGTTTATTATGATATAACACCTGTGTTTATTGTGATATAACACCTGTGTTTATTGTGATATAACACCTGTGTTCAGACGCTGCAGCAGTAATATTTTCTCCGGCTCTGATTGGCTGTCTGAGTTGTGCCGCCGTCCTCCTGCTGCTCCTATTGGTCATTTCCTACAAGTTGAGACAAGTACGTGACTTCATAATGAAATTATATCACATATTGTGATCCTCAGTATGTATATTATATATATATATATATATATATGTATAAATACTGTATATACATATGTTCTGTCTCTCAGAAGCCGCGGTACGAGGTGCGTTGGAAGATCATAGAAAGTTCTGACGGGAACAACTACACCTTCTTTGACCCCGCTCAGCTGCCGTACAACAGGAAGTGGGAGTTTCCCCGGGACCGCCTGCGCCTCGGTAAGTGTGCCCTGCTCTCTGTCTGTCAGGTGTTCACTCTGTGTGTTAATGAGCCCAGAGGCCTGTACTACGAAGCCGGATTTTCCTAACCTGGATATGTTTGAGTTAGCCGGTTGGCCCAATCCAAAACATACGCGCTCTCGCTAAACTGTACTACGACGCTGGATATCAAGTGGATCGCTCAAGCCAGCCGTGTCCTATCTAGTTAGGTGCGCGTTCACATGAAAGGGGTGGTATTTGGAGCATTCGACCAATCTCAAACATGGACAAGCGTACTGACAGCGCAGCGTCATACTTCCTGAATGAAAAGTGAACTTTAATATTAGTCAAATATGAAGAAGTTAAACTTTAAACATTCATGACTTAAACACTTTATCCAGGATAAAAGCCACATAGCTGCACCTGCAAGGTGAATATAGCTGGTAAAAGAAAAAGCATTTGAATGCGTACATTAACAGGTTTATGATATCACTGCCCCGTCCAAGACACGAGTGGATCTGACTTTAATTACATTTGACTCGAGTGTTTCGTCAACTTAATGTGTTGCTTAAAATAATACTTCTGCATACAGTATGTGACACTGTGAGTGTTGCACGGCCAGATACGACTCAAGAAGCTGACTCAAATAAGGAAATATATGATACATTATGATGTGATATGATATGAATGATAATGGGACACATCGACGTCTGCACTCACAGTGCCGCGGACTGTACTTAATGTTACTCTGATCCGGTTACTTATGTTGTGGCAGATATTTAAGTAAGCTTTCTTAACGCTAATGTTATAATAGTCAGATTGCTCTTAAGATGGGCGGGGATATTCTATTAATTTTCACGTTCACACAGTCAGTTGATTTTTGCCGGCCGTCTTTCCTGCAACGGCAGTTTTTCTGTATTTCCTCTATCCTGTAATATGACTTGAGAGTTTTAAACTCCGCACACGGAGCTCTGATTGGTCAGCAGGCGGTGCTTTCACTGAGTTGATCTCTTACCCCTAGATTCCACCGGGTCCGTCTGCGGCGCGTTACGGGCGCGTTACGGGCGCGTTACGGCTGCGCCGCGGTGCTCACGGCGATCGCGGCCACTCTAGTCAATGGGTGCTATTCCACCACACGCGGCGCGTTACGGCTCAGAAGCGTCCCAGAAGCGGCTCGGCGCAGGGCTCCTCTAAAATTAGGATCGAATCCTATTTTTGTCGCGGCGCAGCCGTAACGTAGTGTCGGGCAGGCAGGAAGTGGAACTTTCAGAGCATATATAGCATATATATATAGATATATACACACACACAAACAAATTTTGCAGATCCTATCCCTCCGTAGTCTTTCAAGTAGGAGGAGAAATGCCAGCGTTCTCCTCCGGTTTACAGGCACTGTGTAAATTATATATATATAGAATAATTATGATGATGACTGCATTTTTTTACCACTAAAATACAGCAACACATCTTTGATTCATGTCGTTTATAACTGGAATATTACAGTTATTATTAACTTTGTCTGTACAAAGTAGCCTGTCCAGGAAATATGCCCAAATCAACAAAAACTGCGAGCCGGCAGGCAAGACGCTCCGCTTCTGAAATGCTTCTGAAATGCGCCTGGTAGGGTATGACGCCGGAGGAGGCCGGACCAAAACCGCAACGCGGCGCAGACGGACCCGGTGGAATCTAGGGGTTAGCCTGCAACCTAACCTCCTCCCGAGGAGGTTAGCCGCTCAGCATAAATTACCATGGAGATCTAGCCCGCTAAAAAGAGAACCAGCGTCGTAGGACCGGAAAGCCTGAGTTTTCCCTGAAGTCAGCCGGCTAAGCGAAAATCCGGCTTCGTAGTACAGGCCTCTGCTCTCTTTCTCTCAGGTGTTTACTCTGTGTGTTAATGAGCCCTGCTCTCTTTCTCTCAGGTGTTTACTCTGTGTGTTAATGAGCCCTGCTCTCTGTCTGTCAGGTCCCTGCTCTCTGTCTCTCAGGTGTTTACTTTGTGTGTTAATGTGCCCTTCTCTCTGTCTCTCAGGTGCTGTTCTGGGCTCAGGAGCGTTTGGGAAGGTTGTCATGGCGACGGCGTATGGCCTCGGCAACGACAGCATGACGACCGTCGCCGTGAAGATGCTGAAGCGTGAGTCTTTATCTCTGACATCATCAGTGACATCATCAGTGACATCAACAGTGACACCTGGCGCTGGATCTGAACCGTTCTCTTTGTGTTGAACAGTTCTGGTTCTGACCCGTTCTCTTTGTATTGTTCTCTTAACAGCGAGCGCTCACTCTGTGGAACGAGAGGCTCTGATGTCGGAGCTGAAGATCCTCGGACACCTTGGTTACCATGACAACATCGTGAACCTGCTGGGCGCCTGTACACTGGGAGGTGAGGCGTGTTTTACTGAGGATTCATCCGCCACTGAAAGTAGTCCCTCTGATGTTAACCTGAAAGTAGTCCCTCTCTGATGTTAACCTGAAAGTAGTCCCTCTGATGTTAACCTGGAAGTAGTCCCTCACTGATGTTAACCAGAAAGTAGTCCCTCACTGATGTTAACCTGAAAGTAGTCCCTCTGATGTTAACCTGAAAGTAGTGCCTGTGATGTTAACCTGAATGTAGTCCCTCACTGATGTTAACCTGAAAGTAGTGCCTGTGACGTTAACCTGAAAGTAGTCCCTCTGATATTAACCTGAAAGTAGTCCCTCTGATGTTAACCTGAAAGTAGTCCCTCACTGATGTTAACCTGAAAGTAGTCCGTCTCTGATGTTAACCTGAAAGTAGTGCCTGTGATGTTAACCTGAAAGTAGTGCCTGTGATGTTAACCTGAAAGTAGTCCCTCTGATGTTAACCTGAAAGTAGTCCCTCTCTGATGTTAACCTGAAAGTAGTCCCTCTGATGTTAACCTGAAAGTAGTGCCTGTGATGTTAACCTGAAAGTAGTCCCTCTGATGTTAACCTGAAAGTAGTGCCTTTGATGTTAACCTGAAAGTAGTCCCTCTCTGATGTTAACCTGAAACTAGTCCCTCACTGATGTTAACCTGAAAGTAGTCCCTCTGATGTTAACCTGAAAGTAGTCCCTCTGATGTTAACCTGAAAGTAGTCCCTCTCTGATGTTAACCTGAAAGTAGTCCCTCTCTGATGTTAACCTGAAAGTAGTCTCTCTCTGATGTTAACCTGAAAGTAGTCCCTCTCTGATGTTAACCTGAAAGTAGTTCCTCTGATGTTAACCTGAAAGTAGTCCCTCTCTGATGTTAACCTGAAAGTAGTCCCTCACTGATGTTAACCTGAAAGTAGTCCCTCTCTGATGTTAACCTGAAAGTAGTCCCTCTCTGATGTTAACCTGAAAGTAGTCCCTCACTGAAGTTAACCTGAAAGTAGTCCCTCACTGATGTTAACCTGAAAGTAGTCCCTCTGATGTTAACCTGACCTCTGATCCCTCTGATGTTAACCTGACCTCTGACCTCTCTAACCCTAACCCTGACCTCTGACCCTATCAGGGCCCATGCTGATGATCACTGAATACTGTAGCCATGGCGACCTGCTGAACTTCCTGCGGGCTCACGCTCACCACTTCCTGTCAGAACTGAGCGTCGACGAGAAGTCGGGAGACGCTTTCTATAAAAACACAGCTGGAGGAAGGCTTCGCAGGTAGATTTACCTGTCTGAGTCTCACCTGTCTGAGTCTCACCTGTCTCACCACTCTCACCTGTTGCACCTCTCTCACCTGTCTCACCTGTCTCACCACTCTCACCTGTCTCACCTGTCGCACCTCTCTCACCTGTCTCACCTGTCTGAGTCTCACCTTTCTCACCTGTCTCACCTGTCTCACCTGTCTCTCTGTGTTTCAGTGACAGTGGGATCTCCTGCTGCTCTGAGTACCAGGAGATGCTGACTCCAGGTCAGAAACTAACAGGTACAAAACATCATTAACCCATCCCTCAGGTAATCTGTTACCTTTACTTCTGATTCCTAACCACCTGTCTGTCTTTCAGGTGTGCAGACAGACAGCGTCTCTGTCGGTGACCTCATCAGGTTTTCCTACCAAGTGTCTCAGGGTCTGGACTTCCTGTCCAGCAGAAACGTGAGGACATGATTATCTTCCTGACATCCAATCATCGGAATAACTGCAGAGGAACTATGCTAACCATGCTAATCATGCTAACTGCCTGTCTGCCTGTCTGCCTGTCTGTCTGTCTGTCTGTCTGTCTGTCTGTCTGTCTGTCTGTGTGTCTGTCTGTCTGTCTGTCTCTGTCTGCCTGTCTTTCTGTCTGTCCGCCTGCCTGCCTGTCTGTCTGCCTGTCTGTCTGCCTGTCTGTCTGACTGTCTGTCTGTCTGTCTGCCTGTCTGCCTGTCTGTCTGCAGTGTATCCACAGAGACGTAGCAGCGAGGAACGTCCTGCTGACGGACCGTCGTGTTGCAAAGATCTGTGACTTCGGATTGGCCCGAGATATCCGCAACGATGACAGCTACATAGTGCAGGGCAACGTGAGAACAACCAGTCCACTGAACACTTCGTACACTACACCGGACACTTCGTACACTACACCAGACACTTCGTACACTACACCGGACACTTCGTACACTACGACAGATACTACGTACACTACGAAGGACACTTTGTACACTACGACAGAGACTACGTACACTACGAAGGACACTTTGTACACTACGACAGATACTACGTACACTACGAAGGACACTTTGTACACTACGACAGATACTACGTACACTACGAAGGACACTTTGTACACTACGACAGATACTACGTACACTACGAAGGACACTTTGTACACTACGACAGATACTACGTACACTACGAAGGACACTTTGTACACTGAGAAGGAGACTTCGTACACAACGACGGACACTACGTATATTACGACAGACACTACGTACACTACGACAGAGACAGCGTACACTTCGTGCGCAACGAACAGGACGCAGACGTGCAGACTTTACTCCTTCAGCTTCCTGTCTGCAGGCGCGGCTCCCGGTGAAATGGATGTCTCCGGAGAGCATCTTCGGCTGCGTCTACACGGTTCAGAGCGACGTCTGGTCCTACGGCGTCTTCCTGTGGGAGACCTTCTCTCTGGGTAACTAATCACAGCGCAGCTCCACAGAACACCTTTACCTTGATTGTGTCTGAATAACATCAACCAATCTGACTGTGTGTGTCTACCTGTTCAGGTAAGAGCCCGTACCCAAACGTTGCCGTGGATACCAACTTCTACAAGATGATCCAAGATGGCCGCCACATGGAGCAGCCAGACTTCGCTCCGGCAGAAATGTGAGCATATTTAACTTCCTGTCAATAAAGTTATTTTGTATCTCAGGTATCTGTTAACCTGTTTAGCCCTGAGCCTGTTTTTCAGGTCTCAGGCTCGAAAATGACATTCCCAGAACAAATGACCATATCTTCCCTTCTAAAAGGGGTAAATTAATAATCTTTTTTCTCAAAGTAATGATAAACCTGTGAGTTGGATGTAGAAAAGTCAGAATCAATATAGATGTTTTTTATTTTAAAGACAATTCAGATTGAACATAGTAAAAAACTGTAAATTATAGTGTCTGTCCAAAAATTCTTTTTTACTTATAGTGAAAACCACCCTTGGATGATGGTAAGGTAGACTAAAAGCTTTAGGAATCCAAAGTACAACATATAATAAGTACCCTGTATCAAGATTGATGCAAAACAAGTGACATTTGACCTTTTTAGAGAGGTTTAGCAAAAAGAAACCACTTCTGGGGTCATTTGGGTGGAAATGGGGGTTTTACCGTTTCTCTGGAACCCGTTGGTCGATTTTGGTGATTGACATCTCTTTCTGACCGTTAGAGCCAATAGAATCGAAGGGGAATCTCCCCTCTCACACACATGGTAAAAATAAAAGTGGGGGCTTCGCGCATGCAGTTTTGCATCAGAGCGAACCTATCTCTAGCTTTGACATCTGGAAACGGAAAAGCAGGTTTATTGCTTATGGATTATCAGAAATCATTTCAAAGGGACACAGACACATTGGATTAACCTATGGATTAACTTCAGCAGCGTTTTTATCGTTTTAATGCCATTGAAGACCACTTTTGACCAGACTACGACACAGGTAAGCCATGTTAGCGTTTTTAGCTACCTAGCGCCACATGTTTTGATGTCTGTTTTTGTTTATAAAGTCGCGAGTTCGTATCATGGAGTGATAATGTATGTACCCATCGATTCTGTGTCACCTCACGATGTGAAACGATGTCATGGATGTGCAGAAAAGATAAATAATAAGGTTTTGTGAATGAATTTCGGTGCAGTAATCTGTTAGCATTTTTCGCTCGTTGCTAATTCAGGGGCTCAGCGTTAGCATTGTGGGTTTTATTTTGAAAAAAAAAAAAAAATGATCAGTTAGATGAGTTTCTTCCCGTTACATGGATACAAAACATTCATAGTTTATTAAATGAACATGCCCTCAGACACTGTTTCTGCAAGATGTTGCGGGAGTGCCCCGGTACCGGGGTCTCTCGGGCTTAACAGGTTAATAAAGTTATTTTGAATCTCAGGTATTTGTTAATAAAGTTATTTTGAATCTCAGGTATCAGCTGATGACGTGCTGCTGGAGTCTGGAGCCCACGGACAGACCGACCTTTAACATGATTGGTCAGCTCATTAACAGGCTCCTCCCATCGTCCAATGAGACGTCGCCACATGACAGCGAGAAGGTGAGAAACTGCCGCCATTACGTTGAGATATCATCTCGTTAACGGAGATAATATCTCGTTAGGGGAGATAGCATCTCGTTAACGGAGATAAAATCTCGTTAACGGAGATAACATCTCGTTAGGGGAGATAGCATCTCGTTAACGGAGATAAAATCTCGTTAACGGAGATAACATCTCGTTAGGGGAGATAGCATCTCGTTAACGGAGATAGCATCTCGTTAACGGAGATAATATCTCGTTAGGGGAGATAGCATCTCGTTAACGGAGATAGCATCTCGTTAATGGAGATAACATCTCGTTAACGGAGATAACATCTCGTTAACGGAGATAACATCTCGTTAGTGGAGATAATATCTCGTTAGTGAAGATAACATCTCGTTAGGGGAGATAGCATCTCGTTAACGGAGATAACATCTCGTTAGGGGAGATAGCATCTCGTTAACGGAGATAAAATCTCGTTAACGGAGATAACATCTCGTTAGGGGAGATAGCATCTTGTTAACGGAGATAGCATCTCGTTAACGGAGATAATATCTCGTTAGGGGAGATAGCATCTCGTTAACGGAGATAACATCTCGTTAGGGGAGATAGCATCTCGTTAACGGAGATAAAATCTCGTTAACGGAGATAACATCTCGTTAGGGGAGATAGCATCTCGTTAACGGAGATAACATCTCGTTAACGGAGATAACATCTCGTTAACGGAGATAACATCTCGTTAGTGGAGATAATATCTCGTTAGTGAAGATAACATCTCGTTAACGGAGATAACATCTCGTTAGTGGAGATAATATCTCGTTAGTGGAGATAATATCTCGTTAGTGAAGATAACATCTCGTTAGGGGAGAGAACATCTCGTTAACGGAGATAATATCTCGTTAACGGAGATAACATCTCGTTAACGGAGATAACATCTCGTTAGGGGAGATAGCATCTCGTTAACGGAGATAAAATCTCGTTAACGGAGATAACATCTCGTTAGGGGAGATAGCATCTTGTTAACGGAGATAGCATCTCGTTAACGGAGATAATATCTCGTTAGGGGAGATAGCATCTCGTTAACGGAGATAACATCTCGTTAGGGGAGATAGCATCTCGTTAACGGAGATAAAATCTCGTTAACGGAGATAACATCTCGTTAGGGGAGATAGCATCTCGTTAACGGAGATAACATCTCGTTAACGGAGATAGCATCTCGTTAACGGAGATAAAATCTCGTTAACGGAGATAACATCTCGTTAGGGGAGATAGCATCTCGTTAACGGAGATAACATCTCGTTAACGGAGATAACATCTCGTTAACGGAGATAACATCTCGTTAGTGGAGATAATATCTCGTTAGTGAAGATAACATCTCGTTAACGGAGATAACATCTCGTTAGTGGAGATAATATCTCGTTAGTGGAGATAATATCTCGTTAGTGAAGATAACATCTCGTTAGGGGAGAGAACATCTCGTTAACGGAGATAATATCTCGTTAACGGAGATAACATCTCGTTAACGGAGATAACATCTCGTTAGGGGAGATAGCATCTCGTTAACGGAGATAAAATCTCGTTAACGGAGATAACATCTCGTTAGGGGAGATAGCATCTTGTTAACGGAGATAGCATCTCGTTAACGGAGATAATATCTCGTTAGGGGAGATAGCATCTCGTTAACGGAGATAACATCTCGTTAGGGGAGATAGCATCTCGTTAACGGAGATAAAATCTCGTTAACGGAGATAACATCTCGTTAGGGGAGATAGCATCTCGTTAACGGAGATAACATCTCGTTAACGGAGATAACATCTCGTTAACGGAGATAACATCTCGTTAGTGGAGATAATATCTCGTTAGTGAAGATAACATCTCGTTAACGGAGATAACATCTCGTTAGTGGAGATAATATCTCGTTAGTGGAGATAATATCTCGTTAGTGAAGATAACATCTCGTTAGGGGAGAGAACATCTCGTTAACGGAGATAATATCTCGTTAACGGAGATAACATCTCGTTAACGGAGATAACATCTCGTTAGTGGAGATAACATCTCGTTAGTGGAGAGAACATCTCGTTAACGGAGATAATATCTCGTTAGCGGAGAGAACATCTCGTTAACGGAGATTAACAATATCTCGTTAGTGGAGATAACATCTCGTTAGTGGAGTTAACATCTCGTTAGTGGAGTTAACATCTCGTTAGTGGAGATAACATCTCGTTAACGGAGATAATAACTCGTTAGGGAAGATAACATCTCATTAACGGAGATAATAACTCGTTAGGGAAGATAACATCTCGTTAGGGAAGATAACATCTCGTTAGTGGAGATAACATCTCGTTAGTGGAGATTCTTTGTGATCGTATGTATTCATGGAATCAAACGCACTGATTTTAACGAGTGACTTGAACACATCATCGCTCTTCTTCTTCTCTCCACAGTCGACGTACAGAAACATAAACGAGTGCAAAGAAGAAGAAGAGGAGGAAGAGGAGGAAGAGGAGGAGGTCCGATTGAAAAGAGGAGAAGAAGAAGAGCGAGGTAATGAACTCCATCTGTTGCTAGGATACAGTTCACCTGTAAATAAATCTGACTCCGCCTCCTCTGATCCTCTCAGGGCACCATGGCGACGGCGAGGAGGAGGAGCCAATGATGCAAAACATCTACCAGCTGTCCTGATCAGGCAGCCAATCAGAGCGTGACCCCGCCCCTATTCAAATCTGAACCTTTATTCAGGAAACAGAGATTAATAAAAACAACAAAAGTTATAAAAGTCTTAAACTCAACTTTTACTGATTTATTGTCAATAGTTTGATTTAAATAAAGTTGTTGTAATCTTCCTTAATGAGATGTTTCTCTGTGACTTTATATTTTTACAGTTTATCATTAAAATCTGTGATTGTTTTTTAATCATTTTACATTTAATGTGTAATCATTAGAACTCCTGTAATAATCAGCATGTTAAGATCATTAAAGGGTTTAAAATCAACCGTGTACTTATTTATTATGAATTTGTGTGTGTGTGTGCGTGTGTGCGTGCATGTGTGTGCGCATGTGCGCTTGTGTGTGCGTGTGTGTGTGTGTGTGTGTGCGTGTGTGTCTGTGTGTGTGTGTGCGTGTGTGTGTGTGTGTGTGTGTGTGTGTGTGTGTGTGTGTGTGTGTGTGTGTGTGTGTGTGTGTGTGTGTGGTGTCTCCTGTCAGCTGGACTCTGCTCTTTGTATATCAGGTGTTTATCAGGTTCTGGAAGTTATTCGGTGACTTCAGATCATCTGGAAGTGTCTCTACTTCCCTTATAGCTCAGCGTCACGGATTCATATAACTATTAAACATTATTACTTTACTTTTACTGTGTGTTTCATATTTATATTATTATTTTTCTTTCATTTTTATAAAGTTACAGGTGTTCTCTTTGTATTGTATAATAATGAAGTGTCGGCGTGTAAAGGTTGCTAATCTCATAAATACAGGTGTTCCTGTTTATCAGCTGACGTTATGATGAATGACTTTATGGTGATTAGTTTATGGCTGCTCGTCGGCTCAGAGCAGCAGCAGGTGAGCTCTCTGACACAGGTACATGTATACCATAATAATCAATCTTTTCATACTGAACAGACTTTGAAAGACTCTGACTGATGTGTTGATATAGTTGATATATATAAATATATATATATATATGTATATGCAGAGTGAGGATGAAGCGCTTCTCTTCTCTGGAGGTCCTCCTCTCCGTCCTCTGTTCTCTTCTCCTGCTCTGCTGCCTCGCTCTCATCGTCCTCAGCTGGATCCGCCTGGAGCCTTCAGGTACCGCAGGAGATCTGAGAACTATTTACACTGCTTCATCGACACTGCTTCATCGACACTGCTTCATCTACACTGCTTCATTTACACTGCTTCATCTACACTGCTTCATTTACACTGCTTCATCTACACTGCTTCATCTACATTGCTTCATCTACACTGCTTCATTTACACTGCTTCATCTACACTGCTTCATCTACACTGCTTCATCTACACTGCTTCATTTACACTGCTTCATCTACACTGCTTCATTTACACTGCTTCATCTACACTGCTTCATTTACACTGCTTCATCTACACTGCTTCATCTACATTGCTTCATCTACACTGCTTCATTTACACTGCTTCATCTACACTGCTTCATCTACATTGCTTCATCTACACTGCTTCATCTACACTGCTTCATCTACACTGCTTCATTTACACTGCTTCATCTACACTGCTTCATTTACACTGCTTCATCTACACTGCTTCATCTACACTGCTTCATCTACACTGCTTCATTTACACTGCTTCATCTACACTGCTTCATTTACACTGCTTCATCTACACTGCTTCATGTACACTGCTTCATCTACACTGCTTCATCTACACTGGTTTAATGAAGTGGTCTCATTTAAACTGGTTAATGCTAACATGGTGATGTGTGGCTGGTTGTGCCGAGGTGCCGTTGAGCCCACAGAGCTGAGCGGCCGCATGCTGATCACAGAGGGAGCGTTTTATTCTGAAGAGCTGAAGAACTCCAGCAGTCTGCGGTTCAAATCCCTGGCCTACGACGTCGGACACCTGGTGAGATCAGAGGCTTTTATTGTGAAATATCAGGAAGCTTTATCATCACTCCCACATGATGAGCTTTTATTGTGAAGGACAGAAGGGAAAGAGTCAGGTAAGAATGATGTCACAGTCTGCCCTCTGATTGGTCGACAGGTGTCGGAGGCGTTTGGTCACAGCGAGCTCAAACAGCACTTCCTGTCCTGCCAGGTGAACTCCTTCAGGTGAGTGAACGGTTACCATGGAGACAGGTTCAGGTACCTGTCGATCAGCTGACCTCTGATCTGTGTCCTCAGTCAGGGCAGCGTGACTGTGACCTTTGACCTCTGGTTCAATCAGCTGGTCAACCTGAAGGAGGCAGAGCAGCAGCTGGGGGTGGGGCTTCAGGAGGCCGGAGGCACGGGATTGGTCATCGACCGAAACAGCATCCAGATCACAGGTGAGGTCAGAGAGAGGTCGAATCCTTACCTGTGATCTAATTTAAGCTCTGATTTAAACACTGATTTAAACTCTCATTTAAATCTAATTTAAACTCTGATTTAAACTCTGATTTAAACTCTAATTTAAACTCTGATTTAAACTCTGATTTAACCTTTGATTTAAACTCTGATTTAAGCTCTAATTTAAACTCTAATTTAAACTCTGATTTAAATTCAGATTTAAACTCTAATTTAAACTCTGATTTAAACTCTAATTTAAACTTTGATTTAAACTCTGATTTAAACTCTGATTTAAGCTCTAATTTAAACTCTGATTTAAACTCTAATTTAAATCTAATTTAAACTCTCATTTAAACACTGATTTAAACTCTAATTTAAACTCTGATTTAAACTCTGATTTAAACACTGATTTAAACTCTGATTTAAGCTCTAATTTAAACTCTGATTTAAACTCTGATTTAAACTCTAATTTAAATCTAATTTAAATCTAATTTAAATCTAATTCAAACTCTGATTTAAATACTGATTTAAACTCTGATTTAAATACTGATTTAAATACTGATTTAAACTCTAATTTAAATCTAATTTAAACTCTCATTTAAACACTGATTTAAACTCTAATTTAAACTCTGATTTAAACTCTGATTTAAACACTGATTTAAACTCTAATTTAAACTTTGATTTAAACTCTGATTTAAACACTGATTTAAACTCTAATTTAAACTCTAATTTAAACTCTAATTTAAATCTAATTTAAATCTAATTTAAATCTAATTCAAACTCTGATTTAAATACTGATTTAAACTCTGATTTAAATACTGATTTAAATACTGATTTAAACTCTGATTTAAGCTCTGATTTAAACTCTGATTTAAACTCTGATTTAACCTTTGATTTAAACTCTGATTTAAGCTCTAATTTAAACTCTGATTTAAGCTCTGATTTAAACTCTGATTTAAACTCTGATTTAAACTCTGATTTAAACTCTAATTTAAACTCTGATTTAAACTCTAATTTAAACTCTAATTTAAACTCTCATTTGTTCCTGCAGGGAAACAGGAAGTAACAACGGCTGCTCCGACAGGTGTCTCACCTACAGCAGGTGAGGGGGAGTCAGGTGAGGGGGGGGTCTGATAGTAACTTCCTGTCTGATAGTAACTTCCTGTCTGTCCTCAGAAGCGTGTCCTCCCCAGCAGACGTCCTGTGCTGATCCGTCTCTCTGCGTCCTGATTGGTCAGCTCTGTGACGGACAGCGGGACTGTCCCGACGGCTCGGACGAAGACGCTGCCCGCTGTGGTGAGGAGTCACATGACACCTGTCAGAGTCACGTGACACCTGAGAGGAGTCACATGACACCTGTCAGAGTCACGTGACACCTGAGAGGAGTCACATGACAACAGGTGAGCCTCACTGTTAGCTTCATCACTGAGACAGCATGTCCTTGTCTCCGTAGCGACGGCATGTGACGGACAGTTCATCCTGAGTGATCCGAGTGGCTCGTTCAGTTCAGAAAAAAGCAGCAGATTCTGTCGCTGGATCATCAGGTATTTCCATCAATAACATCACACTGTGGGGACAAACTGCCCTCTGTCTCTGACGGGTATCCTTCCTTTGTCCTCTGTCTCTGTCCTCTGTCCTTTGTCTCTGTCCTCTGTCCTCAGGCTGGACCGAGGACTCTCTGTTCAGATTAACTTCCTGAGGTTTGACACGCAGGAGAACGTGGAACGACTGAAACTCTACGAGGGGGTCGGAGAGGACAGACATCTGAGAGGTGGACACGCACGCACGCACGCACGCACGCACGCACGCACGCACGCACGCACGCACGCACGCACGCACGCACGCACGCACACACACAGTGACTCACTCTTCTCTCTGATTGGCAGCTGAGCTCTCAGGCTCCGCCCACCCAGGGACAGTGTGGCTGCTCAGCGACCAATCAACGGTGGAGTTCATCTCTGATGACGCCAACAACCTGTCAGGGTTCAACGCCACCTACAGCGCGGCCAACACCTCCACGCTCTCCAGTAACACACACACAAACACACACACACACACACACACACACACACACACACACACACACACACACACACACACACACACACACACACACACACACACACACACACACACACACACCACACACACACACACACACACACACACACACACACACACACACACACACACACACACACACACACACACACACACACACACACACACAGTGACTCACACACAGTGACTCACACACTAGGGGTGCAACAACTAATCGACTTAATCGATTAAAATCGATGACCAAATTAGTTGCCAACTAATTCAGTCGTTGATTCGTTGGTGACATCATCACGTGTGTTTTACGCGCCGTTAAGCTCCAACGTTATCGATCTGGAGAAGCGCTCCGAGGTGTGGTTAAACTTTACCCGTCTCGATGTGGACAGTGCTCGTTACCAAAAGTGCAATAAGAGTTTAGCATGTGAGGGCGGTAACACGAGCAATCTGTCTAAACATTTTGCAAAAGTGCACCACATTCAGACGGAGAAATGCACCGGGTTCGACTGTCTCTCTAGTAGCTCTGTAGCCCCATCCACGAGTAACTTTTCCACGTCAACAACAAAAAAAATGATACAAACATGGGTTAATGATTCGAGGTAACTGAGTTATTTATTTTGTTAAAGTTTCAGCTATTCTGTTTACAGTTCTGTCATTACATTATTTAATACGATTTGTTAAAACATTGTTGTTTCTTTTGATGTGAAATATTATTTATTTAATAAAAAAAAAAGCAATGTTAATTTTGTTCACAATTTGTTAAGTTAATTTAATAATATATGTATTTTTGAATCAAGTATTAACCTTTATTGTCTTCATTGTTAGTTTCCACATGCCTAAAACAACCTCAAGCTAAATCTAAAAGTTGATGGCTAAATAAGAGCGATTGAGAAATTGTGCAAGGCATAATAGTCCGAATGGT